TTGCTTGAGGTGTGGCAGGCCTGGTTCTGAAGAATGTGCAGCTTGGGCTAATCTGATGTCCTGATCCGGTGGAGCCTCAGTGTTCATACCCTCGACAAGCGAGGTGGGTTGCCCCCCCTTACACGCTTGCCTTTCTTTACTGCGTTTTGGTCCACAGGGGTCACTGGATTTTCCTTCCGAAAGTTTGACCATCTGACACTAGTGGCACTTGACGCCAAGAAGCCGAAGCCGGCCGAAGCGCATGTCTCACTTCTTCTTGGGCGATCCCTCATTTAGCACACCCATCCCCCCCCCAGTCCCCCCAGTTCCCCCCAGTCATCGAGCCATCCAGAAATCCGTGGTGCTGTTCTTCGAGACGGCCGCCTCCTTCCCCGCCTGCTCCGTCCACTTCTTCCGCCTCTTCACCAGCAGCCGCGCTTTGGCCGTGAGGGCCACCTGGCGCCTCGGAGCCGAAGCGAAGGGAAGCCGAGCCTCGGGCCGCGCCTTGGGGCACCAAACCCGGGGAGCGGCGCCCTGGGCGGGAATAAACGCCCGCTTTTGGGCGATGCCCCATGGAGTTTGAGACAATCCCGGCTGAGCACTGGAATGTTCATGTGGGGAATACAGGGGCGGTAGAGTCCGAGGAGTATTGCTTGTGGCCGGGTATGTGGGGGCATTACAGTTGTTTTCTTTGAGATTGCGCCACTTGGGGATTTGCATTGCCCCTGTCTCAACTCTTGGTTACCTGCAAGTAGGTGGAATTTGGGAGATATGGGTGTTCCTCCAAAGACCCCTGCAAAAAACTCCGGAACCCCCAAACCCGTCTCCGTTTGGGAGACCTTCTTTGTTGGGGGTTTCAGGATTGCATTTTAATTGGGGGTGGGGGGTGGTTACGTGCAATTGGTTACGTGCAATTGGTTAGATGGGTGAGTTTTTGGAGAAAAAAACTTGCTTTGAGTGCCTAGCAGTGACGGCCCCCTTATGTTCTTACTGTTGCCAGCCCAAGTTTAGGTAAGGGGAACCCCAGTAAAAATACCCTAAGTCAGAGGAGCGAGCCCTTTTTGGAGAATATGTCATTTTTTGTTGCTGGCCATGTGTGATAGAAGTTCCAGTTATGCAACCTACCGCCAGAAACGTAGTACACATATACATAATGGAGTAATAATCCCTAGTAAAATCGAATTATGCCAATAACAATGAAATCAAAAGGGGGGTCCTTCCCCAAAAGGATATGTCTCTCAAAATGATGTTTGTGTGGGTTCCTTCTGTTGGTTTGCGCTGGTGCAACTTGTTCGCTTGGAACCAGTGCCAACCTAATGAGCATCTCCGAACCAGCACTTCATCAGCTCTCCCCACTTCCTGATTTCCTGGACTTATGTTTTGGGGGGAAGACCATTTTAGTGGCATACGCACATTCTGGACTGCTTTTGGTCCATTGAAAGGCAATCTTGCGCATTGGATAAGGGTGCATACGCACATTTTGGACTCTTTTTGGCCCATCCCCCAGGAAGTGAGCATCTGATATTCGATTTGGATAAGCCCCTGGCTTGGAGGGTCCCAGGGCGCCCTTGGGCCCCAAGCCCTTGGGCCGCGGAGGCTCTGCTCGGGGTCTCTACTCTTCTTCCTGGGCCGCGCGGCGCGGCTGCAGAAAGACCGCCAGCTGCGCCGCGCCGCGCTCGAGGTCATGGCGGAGGCGCTGGCCGTTTGCTCGGAAAAAAATCAACGGGAGAGACCCAAAACGATGGCTTACCTCTTAAAAAACACATTTTTCTCAACTTTTTGTGTAACATGGGCTTTATGTCTGTAAAAGATTAACTTTTTCAGGGCTTGGAGTTTTAAGGGGTAAGATGGGGTCTCCACCGAATCAAGAGGTTTTTTTTTGTTGCGTTCCCCGGATGTGAGCCGAGCAATCGCTTTAGACCTAGAGGTGGTGCTGAAGACACCGTGGTGTTGAGCAGCTGTGGTGTTTGGTCGGTGTTTGGGGTACTCTTTAGGGCTCAAGGGGGTGTACCACCAACATAGGTGTTCTTTTTAGGTCAGTTTGCTTGAAAACTTATGGATTCCACTGGTATCAGAATCAGTTTGGCTGTGCTTATTTTCCGGGGTTGGCACGTCGAGGCGTGTCATTGGACGCATACTCTTCCGCAGAACGAAAAACTACTTGTTTGAGGTAGGCTGCTTTGTTGGGTTCCATGTCAATTTGCAGTGAGTAGCCCATAGCTGCCCATGCTGTTAACCTTCTCAAACGGAACCAACCGCGAATGGGCAAATCGGGTGCCAAGTTTTGCTAACTGGCCCATAGTGGCAGATGCCCCATGTTCAACCAGTCACTTCCCATTATGTCAGAGCTTTGTAGCGTCTGGGAGCGAGCAACAAGTTGTGATTTTCTGTTGGCCAATTGGGCCAATGCGCTCAGGAAGTGAGACAAGTGTACTTACTTTTTGTGGCCTGTCTAGCCAGGAGTAGCCCCCAAGAATGCGCATGTTGCCACTCGAAGACCTGTGTGTTTCCCAATGTGAAACCAGAAGTGATGCTATGTTTTTTTTTTTTTTTCTCTGACCCCCATTTCACACATGGGCAGGTCACCCATCAAGATGCGGTTCGAGATTTCATGAATAGAACCGGGCAAATGAAATCACGACCTGGCAAAGTCTATTTCTTTTGCAACCGACATCTCCCTTGACCCAGTTTGGCGCCGGTCTTCCCGTTCTTTCCTCACTGAGCATGAATGGGCCTGTTTGTCTATCAGGGTCGCTGGGGTTGATGAATATTTCCTACTAGAGGCCTAGAGGCTTCCTTATTAGGTCTCTTGAAGCATTGGACCATCATAGTTCACCCTGGTTAGATGCTGCCTGTTTTCAAGGAAACATGTGTACATCAACCCACAAGGGTCACAAGAGGTCCCCTATTTAGGAAACGCCCGCCCTGCCTGGGTCCTTTAATTTCGCTCTTGACAATCGTGCTGCCTGGGAGGAGAGAACGTTGTTGTTTTTTTCTTTTTCTCACGCGCCCTTCGGCGGATCAACTTTCGGTTTTCCCAGGTTGGCCCCGTAAATTGGCCAAGTTCCCGAAAGGTGACCTGGATTCCTTACACAAAACCCGGGGGACTCGAAGGTTTTCTCATTTTTGCAAGTATCCTCCCACATGGAACCCAGCTGGAGGTCCCTAGAATGCTCCTTCGAACAGGACAGCGGATGAACCCCATCCCAAAAGTTGATGTCATCTTGCTTCCCCTTGAAAACTGCTCCCAAACGGACAGTGAAATAAGCAAAGGACGGGATGTGAAGGCGAGAGTGGTGAAGCAGCCCCTTCCTATTTGCCCAACGGACTAGCATTGGCTCTGGTTGAGCAGCAAAACAAGCCAAAGCATTGGCATTGTTGTAGGGTATAACACAATTTGCATCTTCCTTTGCAGGGTGATAAGGCAGCAGCGAGTTTCGTAGGATGCTGCCAGGTTGTTAGCTGGGAGGGGCATGGAGTTATGTTGGCTTTAGATGAACAAACTTCCACATTTATTCTTGGGCCTTCCCCAAATTCAAAGATAGTCTGAATCCCATCTTCACATGCGGGGGTGCAGTACCCCTACCCAAAGACTTGCCTTCCATTTGTCCTTCAAGGGCGGTGAAAGGCGAGCGGTTGGCCCAGTGACTGGTTGAGCCGTTTTCTTCTGAAAAGGGGGACATTTCCTCCCTCAGACTAACATGATCTGAGGGTCCTCTTCAGGGGACAGTGACAAGGTGCGGAGAGGCTACCCGTGGCAAGGGCAAAAGGAGAAGTGGCCGGGGGAATTGTGGGCACAAACTTTTTGACCGCACCTCACCGTGTAAGCTGAAAGATGAATGTGGAACCCACAAAACCAGAAAACCCTGCAAGAGGAAGTGCCTGGGTGACCTGTTCAAGTTGACTGTGACTGTAGGGTGAAGATCGGGGAGTGGTCCTTCAAGTTGGGGATTCTAATACCCTGCGCAGGTGATGGAGGAGGTCATGGAGGTCCTACGGTCCGGCGATGAGGAGGCGAAACTTGATGCAACCACTTCGGCCGGCTCGTCGTGTCGTTGTGTTATTCTCCCAGCTGCAAGTGATGGGGCTCTTCCTGCGCGGGTTGCAGGGAGGGTTCTGGAAAGGTTCCGGGGGTTGCTGTTGGGCCAAATTTATGCGGCTTCTTTTATGGCAACACCTCCTGGTTTGGGACGGTAAGTAAGTATTTGGGTAAACACGGGCAGCGGTCGGTTCGGGGGGTTGGATCCTATGAGCCTATGATTTCTTAGGAATGGCGAACCGCGTTTGATGGTGGGCAACAAGGGGCCTTGGACATCCTCATGTTCACGCGAGCTTATGACAAGTGACACACCTACCTTGAAGAGTTCATAGTCAAGGCCCGAGGAGAGGGGGGGGTGGATCCTACGACAGAATCCTCGTAAAATCGACGAGTCTTTTGAATGGGTTCGCGCGGTAAATGCCAAGGTGGCCCATCAAAGAGGATCGGCCACTGAAAAACAGCGGCCCTCCCCAGCTATGAAGTGTTCTTCTTTTTTTTTGCTGGGCTTGGCTTTCCTAAAAGTCATGCTTTTCTTGTTCCCCAGGGGGCTAGGGTATATTAAAGGGCTATGGGGGGGTTTCCCCACTACCCCTCGGATCCCTGACACGGTTCTTCAGGTGTGGCCGTGACCTGACACAAATGTAGTACACCATCACAGCACTTCCTGCCCGCCCGCAGGAGCCGAGGCAAGTTCTACAGTGTTTTCACTACCCCCCAGGTGAAAATTCTACCTGTGAACAAAGTGGATCTCTCTTGTTCTTGGGGACCCCTTTTGTTTTCTTCCACACAAATAGGGCTAGCCTCAAAAAGAACACCCCCAAGTCCTTTGGGTTGCTTTTACTACAAACATAGGGCTAGCCTGAAAAAGAACACCCCCAAGTCCTTTGGTTTGCTTTTACTGCAAACATAGGGCTAGCCTGAAAAAGAACACCCCCAAGTCCTTTAGTTTTCTTTCACTGCAAACATAGGGCTAGCCTGAAAAAGAAAACCCCCCAAGTCCTTTGGTTTCCTTTCACTGCAAAAATAGGGCTAGCCTCAAAAAGAACGCCCCCAAGTCCTTTGGTTTTCTTTCATTGCAAAAATAGGGCTAGCCTCAAGAAGACCCGCCCCCCAAGTCCTTTGGTTTGCTTTCACTACCAAAATGGGGCTAGCCTCAAAACCCCCCCCCCACCAGGTTTTCTTTCACTGCAAAAATAGGGCTAGCCTCAAAAAGCCCCCATCCCAAGTTCTTTGGGTTTCGTTCACTACCACAATAGGGCTAGGCTCAAAAAGAACACCCCCAAGTTCTTTAGTTTTCTTTCACTACCAAAATAGGGCTAGCCTCAAAAATAACACCCCCAAGTCCTCACTAGCAAAATATGGCTAGCCTCAAAAAGAACACCCCCAAGTCCTTTGGTTTTTTCACTACAAAGATAGGGCTAGCCTCAAAATGAACACCCCCAAGTCCTTTTTGTTTTCTTTCACTGCAACATAGGGCTAGCTTCAAAATGAACACCCCCAAGTCCTTTTTGTTTTCTTTCACTGCAAAACTAGGGCTAGCCTCAAAAAGAACACCCCCAACTCCTTTTTGTTTTCTTTCATCACAAAATTAGGGCTAGCTTGAAAAAGAACACCCCCAAGTTCTTTGGTTCGCTTTCATCACAAGAATAGGGCTAGCCTCAAAAAGAACACCCCCAATTCCTTTGGTTGTTTTCACTACCAAAATAGGGCCAACGGGCTACCCCCTCAGACACCCCCAAGTGGCCACGTCGCTGAGCCCCGCGGCCCGGCTTCGCTTCTTGAGGAAGGGGGAGTGGGAGCTCGCCATCTTGGAGCTCCACGGCGCTGAGAGCTCGCCGGAGGTCGAGGCGACATCCGCGCCATCCGCGCGCCGAGCCGATGTCGGGGGGGTGAAACGCGCCGTTTCGCCCGCGAGCTGAGTCAATTTCGGGGGTGAAACGAGCGAAAGCCATGGACAAGGTGCTTTACTGGGGGATCCCGTAGCTCGTGGAAGTCCTGTAAAGTTTTTGCAGGCTCCTTCAGTGGGATCCCTTCTCCCTTGCCTTGTGGTTTGGCGCGCCCGAAAGGATTCAATCCACCCCCCGCAAAGAAAAGGTAAGGGACTACTGTTGGAAGGGTTTCCTTGCATGTGTTAAAGCCTCTAGCATACGCTTTTGCATTTATCTCATCCTGGGCAAAGTGGTTTCAGTAAGCACATGCCCCTCGCAAACGTATCCCCCAATGTTTGCCCAATACATCTTATAATTATTATGCCATACCCTCTAGATGCATTTCGCCTTGAAAAGCATGCAACCACAACCAACCGGGCACAGGCAGGGTGATCGTGTGAACTTGAGCTGGTCAAACCCCCTTGACCCCCCAACCCCGGTACGGGCCGCAATACCTGGAGATGTGTTGCTTGGGTTATCAAAGTGGGGGTCATTCCACCACCTGCCATGACCTACTTGGTTATTTAACACTCTGGCAAACCTAGCCTGGAGTCCTGAACCGGCTCTCTTATTTCTCAAACCAAAAAACACAAAGCGCGGAGTGCTTTGCACGGGAGCAGGGGTCCCACCCCGGAAACTAGAGGGGCCACCGATGGTTTTTCGTGTCTTTTTCCGCGGGCAGCTTGTTCTGCCGGGTCTTGGCATCGAGGAGCTGGTAGACTTTGAGCTGTTGGAGACCCAGCTGCTGGAAGTCTGCAACTGCGCCATCCAGCTGGACGCCAAGCCGTGCTCCAGGCCGGCTTGGAGCCCCGAGCCCCGAAGGCTCTTCTGGTATCCCCACCCTCTTCATGGAATCGGGGGAAGGGGGTGACCCCTGGAAATCCAGTTTTCCCTTTTATTGGGAAGGCTAGATAAATGGAATGGGGTCCCCCACCCCCCTCCCCCCTACAGCAGGGGGGATCTTTTGGTCACTGCGAATGCTTGGTGCAAGTTTCATGGTCCGTCTATGGTTCATGTGGGATGGACGAGAAGGCGTTCGCCCACAAACATCGGGGGACTCACTAAGCCACTAAGTGTCTCATGTTCTCTTTGGCGCATGCCCGAATAGGATTGCTCAAGGATGTGCCACTCGGAAGAACCCCCGACCAAACATGTAAGGGATGGAAATTAAAGGAAACCGGGTAAGAGACACGGAAGAGACCAGCCAAAACTCAAGGGATTTCTAATTATCAGACCTCAAAAATGTGCTTTCTCCCCAAAAATGGACATCTCCATGTCTCCATGTGGCAATTTGTACTTGCAACCTACAGCTACAGCAGCTTCCTATTAAAACAAATCCTATTGCAAGGGGAATGCCCACTGATCTGCAGGGTCTTCCAGAGGATATATGAAAGAGTAATGGAGAAGTTCCAGGATGTATGGGGCAAGTTCTTGGCTGTGTGCCGCGGGTCTGACGGGTCTCGGAGGAACCATTTGTACAGCTACGACTACTTGGACGTCTTGGTGAACATCAGCTCGGTGGAGAAGTTCGCGGAGCGCATGGTGAAGGCACCGAGCGGTTGTGCCCGACCTGAGCTGTTCAGAGGCCTCTAGCCCCGTTCTGGTTTGCCAGTAATGTGGACCCCATATTCATCAACCCCAGCTGGTGGCCAACTGGGTTCAGTGGGGGAATCATCACTTTGGAGGGGAGCACCTCGTATTGATGACCTGGTCTACCTTGAAGTCACTCTGCAACTGGGGCACGTAATGACTGCAGGTACCACGCCATGAGAGGTAAGATCACCAGCAAAATCGTCAAGCTGAGCCACATGCATGGAATCCGTTCGTTGTTCTAAAGTGTTTGGCAGTCCCCTTCCTAACCAAATGTCGCATCCTCTTTTTCCATAGCCCTGGGTAGGTAAGCAAAAGTAGGCAACCGCAGTAAACCATTTGCATTCGATCAGAGGATCATTTCGCTGGGAATCGAATGGACAAAAATATGTATAAGCATCAACATTCATCAACATTGGTCGATGTCCTTTTGGGTTTCTATTTAGGCAACATCCAATAGTGCTACGTAATGTTTGTTGAGCCGATCGTCTTGGTTTAAGCCTGGACCTGTTGGAAACAAATCTCTGTTCCATTCTGCCTACAAAAGGTGATCGACCTTTTGCTCAGGCGGAAGGGGTTCAACCCGAGTTAGGCAAAGGTAATATGAGGGGCGAAATGTTGCGAACCATCTTGCCCCCACCCTGACTGAATCTTCCTCTAGAGTACGCAGCCCCATTCTGAGGAGGCCATTTTTTGGGGGGGTCAGTTTTTCCATGAGAGCCCAGGTCTGCCTTGGACAGTCTTGTAACCCGTTGGCGTTTACAAGCTCTCAGTTGCCCAAAACCGACCTTTTGACTTTTTGGTTTCCCTATTTTGGTCCATGTTTAGTCATGGCCCCAAAAGGTCGACCTTTTTTTGGGGGGGCTCCATAACTGAGAGCTCCTTTGGATAGATTGGCCAGTCCTTTGGCCAGTCACTGTTCAGGTTTGCGGTGCTTTGTGTCATGGCTTGTGTAGCACTGAACAGCCCATGCAGGTCGGGTTTCTTGCCTTTTGAGACGCACCCCGGTGCTGATTTCGAGACTTTGGACCTGGACTCCGGCAACTTCCACTATGGGAAATTGATGCACTGTTTCCAACCAGGAACCAGCAGCACTGCAACTTTGAGAGGTCTTTCAGACGCGCACGTCCAACAGGTGGCCGAGCGGGTTAGACAGGTTGCAGGCCCAGTTGTGTTGGCTCAAAGGCGGGGTACCTGAAGATTTGCATGACCGTGCTGGCCGTCCAGAAGACTGACGAGCCTTGAAGTCGATAGTCCCATAGTATCCCCTTAGCTTTTTAGCCTTCTAGTGTTTAGTGGTAGTCTCCATTTAGCCCACTAAAAGTTAAACTTTTAGCGGGGGATCTGAGGGCAGCCCAGTTTTGACACCTACCCAAATCAACTCTGAATCCTGTTGCCAGATTGTAGTGAAAGTTGTTCAAGGCGGTCCAAAAAGGAACCACGCCTCCTTAGGGGGACAAACATTGGCCAAGCTTCCAAAGGGTTGCAATTCTTCAGAGTCACCTGCTTGCAACTGGGTTCCTGCTCAAAGTGAAGCGCCCTTGTCGATTTGATTTTTAAGCACATGGTTTCATGAGATCCCCAAAGCTTACTGTAACCTCGCCAGCCAAGTGAGTCTTGGAGCTGGGGGACTTGCCCTGTTGCTTTTTGGTCTGCCTTGAAAGCTCATGTTAGAAAGGCCACCAACACCCAGACCTGAAAGTGGTTTACTCCCCGGCTCACTGCAAGCCCTTTCGGAGACGTTCTCTGGAGAAGATTTTCTAGACCTAGCCATGCACTCACGGGTCCCGCAACCAAAGCGGGAGGAGGCGGATATCTTTTTGGTCTGGCGGGGTGGGGGGAGGGGGCGGGGGCCGGGGTTCCCAGACATGTTCAGCAAGAGGTGATCGCTCGCCCCGGCGTTCTCTTCAGCAATCCCTCGTAACTCGAAATCTCTGGCCCAAGCTTCTGAGGTGGAGTAGATAAGTGATGGCAACCGAGGTCATCTGAGGTTTTTTAGGGTTCCTAAAGCACCTGTGGCTGCCTCTTGGCTGACATTTCATTTTAACTTTGAGCCTTTGAAAGGGCTGCTTCAGGGGCAGTACAAAGCTTTTGCGTTGACTTTTTGGGCGCTGCTTGTCACCCTCACAAACCTTCCGTCTGCACAAAACGCCCACGGCCACGGAATTTTCGACTCGCGAGGGAGGCTCCTGGGGCACCGTTTTGACTCCTGCCCTGAGTCATTCGCTGGCTCCCCCCTGTGCACGTTTCGCACCGTGAATCCTTGGAATGAGATGAATGAGTCGATTCCCCTACAACTTAAACTGCCAACGGTTTCAAAGATGGTTTCTTGAAACCTGATTCCCCCATCAATACCAACTTCAACGTGATGGTTTCAACCATGGTTTCGACCTGAAATGATTCGATGCCCCTACAACTACCGACGGTTTCAAGCACGGTTTCACCGTGTTTCACCTGGTAGTGCTTGAACGGTTGCGTATTTCGCATCCGTCCATCAACATGCTGTGGTCGGAAAAAAACCATCTCGCACCGTTCAGAAACCCTGCCCAGTTTTCGAGCCTATTTTAGTGGGGATTGTGACCCTACGGGATTTTTGACCCATTCCAAGTGCCGCGGTTTTTGTTTTTTTCGTCCATCGGTCCGTGGCTCCAATTCGTCGGTCTCAGGAGAGCCACAAGGAGGCGCTGCTCACCGGCCAGGGCGCCAGCCTGGAGGTGCTGAGCCACTGGGCCTCCTTCGAGGGGATCCGCCCCAAGGTGGAGAAGGCCCTGGGCCTGGCGGAAGGCGGGGGGAGGGGACGAGACGAAAAATGGGGGAGGGGGGTTGGGGGGTTGGGGGGTTGGGGGGGTGGGGGGTTGGGGGGGTGGGGGGGTTGGGGGGGTTGGGGGGTTGGGGTGGGCAGGGGGTGGGACTAAAAAACGGGGGTTCATCCGATCCCTGGATACAAGGGAGTTCTCGGATCACTCGCGGTGTATCCCCTGTGATACTGTTGGTGCAAGCTCGGCCTGGGAAGTCCTAGCCAAACTTGCCATCTCCAAGTTGTTGGCTTGGGACAGAGGTGTTGGGGGTTGCGAATTTCTTTAGCCAGCTCCCGAGGCACAGTGACTGCTTCGTCAACGTAATGTTGCAAGACTTTGTGTATTGCACCTGGGATCATAATCCAAAAAAGAAGCCGCTATGCTGCATCCAAAATTGTTGCTTGGACTATTTCGGGTCCGTGCTTCTCCTTTCTCCCTTTCTCATGTTCTTTTTTGTTTGCTGTTCGCCTGCTTAAAGACCAACAAGTTACCAAAGAATGCGTTGTTTTTTTTCATATTGCGGTTTGGGACAACGCCATTTTGTCGTTGCTCCCTTTGTTTGCCACGTGTGTTTCCACGTTCTCCTAACATCGAGCCTCCAGGGGAGGTTCCTCAAAGGTCCTTGGTGGGGTTCCACACCCTCACCCCCTTTAAATATGGAACTGGGGCGGGGGCGGTGGTGACCCTGGAATTGATGGTTCCATGTCCTTTTTATGGAAGACAAGATACATGAAATTGGGGAGCCCCCACCCCGCTCGCGAGATGGTTCCATGAAGGTAGGTCTCAGTGGCTGCACCTTGAGAGGCCTTGCAGGTCAGGTTGGGGCATGTTGGGAGGTCCGTAGACTTTCTCACTCCCTGTGTTCGTGAACTTTAGGCGTTTTGGGACTGGACCATTTTAGTGGTAAATCAAAAGCTCCAGAGCTTTTTCGGGGAGAGCTTTGTGTTGCCCCCGGAAGGTGGAAACTGGTGGGCGCGAACAGGATCCCCCAAATCTGATCCGGATTCTTCCAGAAGCTGGGGCGCCCCACAAGTCAACATGGACAAAGGTCCTGAGAATCAGCAAGTTGGATCGACAACCCCAAAATGACTGTTTCTCAAAATTGCGGACTCCGTTTCTTAGTTTGTGTTAGTCTGTGCCTAGGACTCCGTTTTTAGTTTGTGTTTAAAGGAAAAAACCAACCAAAAAACTATGGTCGGAGGGATCAACGCTTACTTGAGACTCCGCAAGCTCCGCCTGGGGGCACAAATCGCTGGGTTCCGCAGGCAAGCAGCACGCTAGAGATCGCTTGGAGAAGCTGCGAGACAGCAAGGAGTGGGCTCACACGGATTGATTTCTGTAGCGAAGGGGTGTTCTCTTGGCTCCCAGCCATCCAGTTCCTTAGCTTTTTGGCCTGTTAGTGTTTAGTGGGGGTTTCCATTTAACCCACTAAAAGTTAAACTTTTCGCAAAAGATCTGAGGGCAGCCCAGTTCTATAACATAGTGATCCCCCTTCGTCGATTGTCCAAAAAAGAAACCAAAAGAGAGACAACGCAGCTTAGGGTTGGCGTTCCGAACAAACCCTGCCGCTGTGATGTTTGAAGCTTGCGGGGGTCTTGCGAATGCACCTGGCCCCAAACCGCCCCTCGCATCCCAGCAGAGACGGACTGCTTAGCCTCAATCCGTTGGGCTTCCTTTGGGTTTCGAGAGGATTTGGTAAATTTGGCCCCCTGCGCAAGGGGTTCCCAAGTTATGACGGATGAGGATTGGCCAGCCATCCAGTGTTTGGGAGACCAATTCCTGGCTTTCGCTTGTGCCAAAAGAAGGGGTGAAGCACCCGGTGGTCAGCTTCGAACCGGTGCCGGAGGGGATTATTTTTCGGGTACCCACGAAATTGCCCTGAGCTACACCCCCCCCCCCCACAAAACCACACACTCCAGAGCCTTCTTTTGGGGACTGACTTATTTTTATCTTCCGATGTGCCAAACATGTAAAAGGTTGAAAAAAAGTTGAAATATATACATCCGCAAGATCTCATAAGTGGGGGTTCCCATCAATTGGCCCAAAACCCCGTCCTGGTTCAGGAACCCCTTAGGCAGCATCCCAGGCAACTCAGCTTCAATTGGCAACCAAAAGGGCGGTGCTTATCGCCATTCACATCATTTAGCAACCATTCGTAATGAAGTTTCCCTTAGATGAGTTCCATTCAACTCGCAAACAATGTCCAAAAGTTGTTTCGCAATTCCCTCAAGTCCCTTCCCACACCCCACGGGGGGGGGGAAAGGGGGGGAAACAAAAAGCAAAAACCACCTGGCGCCCCCATCTGACCCCGCAGGACGCGCGCATCCGCGCCGCTGCCCAGCGCCTGCTCTTTGAGTTGGCCTGGCTGGAGGGCTCGCAGGACGCCCCCGCGGAAGTGCTCGCGCGAGGGCCGGAGGCGGGCGGGGCGTCCGGGCTTCAGAGCTCAGCGAGGCGTAGGGCGGCTTTCCGTTTTGACGTGGGGGCCCCCAAATCAATTGGTTTCCCTTTGGTTTGCACAAGGAAAGCGCGCGCAAAAAGAAGACCCTGTGAAAAAAGACCGCCATGGCCGCAAATTCAAGCAGGTCTTTGTTTGACAAGCAGCTGTTTCCGACTCGGCGTGTCCTTCTTCGGTGTGGGCAAGCCCAAAAAAAAGTGTTGTTTTGTTTTTTCCCGCTGTGGGCCTCGCCTGAGAACATCATAGGACTCGCTGACTTGTTCGAAGCCCACCTTCTAAACTTGTATGTGTTTTAATGTGGTGTCTTTCCTTTAGTGGCAGCCTCTTAGCCCCATTTGAGCAAGAAAAGTGTCTCGTCTTTGCGCCAACTGTGAGGGAACTGAGCGACAAAACCTTCGCAGGCAGAAGCGGCGTACCACAAAGCCATGGCCACAGGATCCTTGGAGTGGGTGGGTCGTGGCGGCGCAGGCGATCGACCCAGGGGTCCCTATATTTCCCTTCTTGGTGAGTTTAGACATCACCTTTTTGGCCCATGAAAGGTGAGTGTCCCTTGGTGGTTGTGATTTTTTAAGGGGAGATATAGGGAGCCCTGAAGAACTATGGGTTTAATAGGGGCTGTAGGAAGGTCGAACAAAGCCGCAGCTGCGCTGGTAAAGCCAACATGGGTTTTGGGTGCAGCTCAGTTTTCCAAAGCCTCCCCTTGTTCCTGGGCTTGATGCTTTTGGTGCTCGGGCCATTCTTGCGGCAAACGCAAACTCGGGCTTGGGCCAATCCCCTGATGCTCCTTTCCCGTCCAACCTTAGTCAAGGTGTGACGAAAAGGGAAAACCTTTTATGTTCAGATCCTTTGGACAAGTTGGTCCCCTGCACAACTGTCAACCCCAGCATGTGAGCCTATCCACTTCCAGAGGCCTAGGCTCGTTCCTCGTTTGTTCCCAGGGCCCCATTCAATCCCGGTGTGTTTCCAAGTGTGTCGGGTTCTGGACAAGTGCAACGTGTTCATGTCGCTTGTGTATGCGTTGTGTAGTTTGCAACTGAGGAAAGGCCCGGTTCAAGTAAGTTTCCTCAGCATTTCTTCAGGAAGAGCTGATGTTTGCAATGGTGGTTGTTGTTGTTTTTGCCCAGACGCCATTTCCAAGCCTGAGTTTGAGCAGGAAGGTTGGTGAGATGCCGTGTGTTTTGCGTGTGAAGATTGTGTAAGAGTGTTTTTTCTCAGGAGTGGCCCAGTTCAAATCCATGAAGATGGTGCTCCTGGGCGAAGACCGCAGCGGCAAGAGCTCCGTCCTGGCCTCCGTGACGGGCGCGGGCTGGGACGCCCAGATGCAGTCCACCCATGGGGTCTCTGCCAGTCGCTTCAAGCTCGGCAGGGGGCGCCTTGGCAACATGACGTGGGGGGAGGGGGGGGGGGGGAGGGGGAGAGGGAGGGGGGAGGTGGCTCCCCTGACTCCAAACCCCCCAAACCCCCAATTCATGGTCTTCTGACCATCTGAAGCCTAACTCCAATCCAAACCCAAGCCGATTGGTCACCTCTCACCTTTCGAAGCTTAGGAACTGGAAGGAGCAGGCGGGGTCTTTGACCGCTGCGGAGGTCGCCGCTAAGGCGACCGCCGCTCTGCTGCGGGAGGAAGTCACCGAGGAGGACGAATACGCAGGCCATCGACGAATCCGGTGGGCGGCGAAGCGAAGTTCTCGTGGCTTTTGTTTGGCTGGGGTGGGTGCTCAATCATTGAAAGGTGTTCAAAAGAAACAAGTTGTCGGGAGAAATATCGGGAACGAAATATTGTATGTAAGTCTGACGAAGTTGAGTGAATCGGTTTTTGTCGCGGGAGGCATGGGATTTGAAATGTGTAGTGAGCTGGATGACTAGCCAATCCCATTGGGGGGAGGGTCCTGGAAGGGAAGGGTATTAATTTTACCCAGATGGACTGGAAATCCTGGAGGATGAAGCCCTATGAATACTGGTTGGTAACCCACCGATCCTAACTGGTGCTGATCTGAGTGGATTTTGTCCATCAGTCTGGCCTAGTGACCTGCGGCAGAATTGTCCTCGCCCCTTGCCATGGCTCGAAATTGTAAAATTGTTCAAGTGAAGTTGCTTGCTGCGATGGTTGCTCCCGACTCAAATGGCCAAATTGTGGTTTTCCTGTCAGGTGCCAATGGCCTTGTGCCAGGTCTGTGGAGTAGTTGCACTTGGGAAGCTAATGTTTCAGTGCTGATCGGTTTTGGAGTTGTGATTGCCCGGAATTTTGGGGGGGAAGGTTGGTCGCTCACGCAGCACTGGCAGGAAAGTTAGGCCCAAATCCACTAGGATGATCCGTTCTTGGAAGTCTTGCCCACATCAATGGTTCAGCTCGGGGCGGCCTTGACTGTTTGACTTCAACACTGCAAGCCTGCAAAGCCAATCGGTTTTTTCCTCATGTCAAATAGGGGTGTCTGGAAATTGAACTTCCCCACTTGGCCAGGGGAACCCCGCAGTATTCTGGTTTAGTTAAAGATTATATATTTGGCCGGCCCTTTCTATACAATTCATGGCTTCTCTTGGGGCAAAGGGACACATCGCGTATCAGCGCCCCTCATGTCCGGTTCGCGATGCGCGCAGGCGCCCTGCCGGACGAGATGCGCTCTGCAAAGTCCGCCAAAGCCTCGGGCGGCGGCGGCGGCGGCTCCTCAGACGACGCCGGGGCCGCGGCTTCCGTGGGTGCTGCCGCCGGAAGCGGAGCGCCGCCGGAGAAGGCGGAGACAGAGGAGGAGACAAGTGGGTCAATGTTATTTTGGTGGCTCGGTTCCTTAGCCTTTGAGCTTTTTAGAGTTTAGTGGTAGTTTCCGTTTAACCCACCAAACGTTAAACTTTCAGCGGGGGATCTGAGGGCCGGGCAGCCCAGTTATTCATTTGGTCTCATGCGTTTGGGAGTTCTATACAACATCTGACGATGGGAAGCGCTGGGAAGACTACAACTCCTGGCAAAGTCCTGAAAGCCCACGCTCGTGTTGATGGAAAGTCCTGGCTAGAGAGAAGAGCTGGGCCTACCCAAAACGGATGCAATGGCCTCGGCTTTGTTGTGGGAACTAGGGCCTCCGCTATCACGGAATTCCTTGGGCAGGCAGATGTTGTAGTAAAGCAGTGGAAAAGCAATTCCGACAAGAGCCACAAGGATAAACCCGGGTAGATTAAGGATAGGGGCAGTCCGTTTCGGGGCCATGACCTTCCTCTTGAGTAAGCCCTATGTCAACTTCCATGATTGTCGCACAGAGGGTAGATTCACGTACGTCTCGTTGTCCATTTGTATGCACTTCCGAATGGTGTGGGGTCAAAGCGAAACAAGGGAAAAAGACACCCCAAGTGTTTGGGGTGGTGGTATCTTGATCTGTTTGGGGGGCGCGAGCAGTTTTATGCATTTGGATTCGCGAGGAGGGGGATCAACTCAGCACCTTGGAGTCTGCGAACCTGCCCCTGGACGCCATCGCCATAGCACTGCAGGAGGATGGCGGTTTTGACTGGAAGACAACTTAGATTGTCAGGGAGCTTGCGCGGGTACTAGCCCTGGTTGTGACCCTCGGAATGGGACTTAGAACCACAGAAAGTGGCTTATTGCCAGTGTTATCAACCGCAGAGCAAGTCTAGAGAATGTACTAAACGGTGGCTTCTCACATCGTTTTTCAGGCAAGCCAATATGAGACCCCAAGCCCGGGGGGGGGGGGGCATCATTCCGACATATTTTACCTTGGCGGGTAGGTCCCAGACCGCTGAGACCATCTACGTATGACTGAGGATGGACAAAATCCATTTCGCGCACCCTGGAATGATAATTCTTCTGTACATACCAACAAAAACAATGGTTTGAGCCATGGTTTCCTTTCGTGGTGCGGTCGACCGGATGTCGCAGCCACAGCACGAATTCTTTCACCTCCACAGGACCCCGACGAAGTTCGGGTCATGGTGAAGGACACCGCGGGTCAGCCCAGGTATTACGGCATGCTCGCAGGCACGGGACCGGTGGGACCCGTGGGATCTGTGGGACCTGTGGCTCGGAGTCCCTGTTTAGTACTGAAATCCTCCACCACTGTTCGGAAACCCTGGATTCTGATTCGATTCCCTTGTAAATACCAACCAACGTTATGGTTTCAACCATGGTTTCAAAGTGGTGCGAAATGGATTTAGCAACCATCCACAGTATGGTTTAGTGGGTTCAAATTAAAACCGCGCGCCGAAGTTGCTGGTGCAGTTGTCACTGGAAAAGCGTGGCATCTAAGTTGTTGGCCCTGCCTCAGAGTTGTCACTTTCAAAGCGAATGGACTGAAGTCATCCAACTTTGCCTGTCCAAGAATATTTCACAATCAAAGCGACTACACCAGATGTGTATTTTTGGTGTTCTACATTATTGAGCGCGGAAGTTGCGGTGCAAAGATGCGTCCCCAATCGGCACTTGAACAGGGTAATCCTGAGGCTGCTGCGCTACTGCCATCTGGTCAAGCATCACTTCCCCCCCTGCCCGCCCCGGGTTTGGGTGACAGGGTTAGAGGTTAGCAAAGCCATGCACCTCCAGGCACATTGTAAGTGAGTCTTTGGCCCCCTTTGGACCTCTCAGAAAAGTCCAAACCGATTGGCTCAAGAGATGATCACCTTATGCCCCTTTCAAGGTGGTCTCTCGCGAACCTTCGATGACAACCTTTGTTTGTATTGAAAATACCGTTGTGGTCACCCTGCGAGCCTTTAGCTCAATTGGCCTGGGTGAGGTGACTCATCCCATGTGAGGTCCAGGGGTTTTCGGGTTCTTTGGGGAACCATTTTGGGGAAGTGCGACCCAGCGTTGACTTTGACTCCCAATAAAAAGCAGCCTACGCTCAAAAATGTCTGACGTCAATTGAAATGGTGTGTAGCTCACCCGTGTTGGCTGGGCTAGATGTACGTCCCACCCTGGAGCCAACCAAATGGACTCCAGTCCTTTACTCGCCCGTCTCCCAACTAGCCATTGTTTACCACGCGCCCCCCTCAACAAAGACCCGTTCAAGGGTCATTTGCAGGTTGCCCGTTTGAGGCTACGCTTTCGGGGATTTGAACCACGATGCGCTGCGCAGGCGCGTTGTCGAAAACCAGCATGCCCATCATCGTCTTCAGCCTGGTGCGCTGGGGCAAGTACGTGCTGAAAGACCCAGCCTTCGAGGAAGTTCAACCGAACCTCACCAGCAACCAAGCGAATCGATCGTTTCTCATCATGGCTGCGGAAAGTTTGGTTTTGGTGCCACTTTCTGTGATACCAGCGACAACCTGTTTTGAAGTGATAAACTGGTTGGGGAAAGCGTGACTTTCTTCGACCACGAGTCGACCAATTGACCTTCTCCGCTGCGGCCCGACTAGGGTGCATCGGTGCTCCAACCCACCACCTCAGGCAGAGTCATCCCAATGACGCGAGCGGATAGCGGAGGGCTGACAACGATGACGGGAGGGACTGTGTCGTAAATAGGCAGTGCACTCCCGGTCCATCCATCCCTCCATCCCTCCATCCCTCCCCCTCCATCCATCCATCTCCATCCCTCCATCCCTCCATCCCTCCATCCCTCCATCCCTCCATCCCTCCATCCCTCCATCCCTCCATCCATCCATCCATCCATCCATCCATCCATCCATCCATCCATCCATCCATCCATCCATCCATCCATCCTCCCTGCATCCATCCCTCCCTCCCTCCCCTCCCTCCATCCCTCCATCCATCCATCCAGCCAGCCAGCCATCCATCCATCCATCCATCCATCCATCCATCCATCCATCCATCCATCCATCCAATTGCAAGGTCGTCTTCCAACGGAGCCTGTGCACTTCCATGTTTTCTGTGCACATTTACCCTACTAGATGTCTTCTTTTTTTGTCCCTTTCAGCTATTCAACCAGCGCACATTTTACTTTTGCAGGGAGTGGCAGATACTTCTCAAAGACCTTGCACCTTCTTTCCATGTTTGCATGCCAATCTTTTGGGACGAGCTCACATGGCAGTGGAGAACGAGCTCGCCATGAAGCTCCTTTGGGGAATCCCTTGTTGTTGTTTTAGAATTATTCTAAGCTTTGCAGATGCTGTCCATTTCTTGTTTTGGCAGTTAAGGTTCCAACAGGTCATCCTCAGTTCCACGAAAATGGCACCTGTAGGAAGGCAACTGGACAAATCACCTCATGAAGGGCAGTGTTAGTGGAGGGCAACTGTAGAAATTCCGCGCTGGTTTCGAGATACATGCGCTTTATTCAGGGCATTTGCGCCAGGAATATGGACTTGCACATGTCCCGCGCCAAAGGGAGCAAGGACGGACGAGCGCGGGGAATCACAGTAGGAAGCAGCGAGGGATGGTAGAACCAACATTATTTTGTGAGCAGGTGAAACGGTGCAATATTGTTTGGATGAGTTCCCCTGCAACAGCCAACCGATAATTTTGAGAATATGTCACTGGGAATGGACCCAGTTTCAGCATATGAGGCCTGTTTGAAAAGCCCGACCAATTTTGACCCCTGATGTAAGTCAGAAGGGTTTAGAAGTCCGCTTTTTGGGACGCCTTCTGACCCTGCCCCCCCTCCCCCCCCCGCCCCCGCCCCAAAAGTAAATGGAACTGCTAGTGCTGCAAAGTGCCACGATCAATCACGTGCATGAGGATTTTTTGCAGCAGGTCTCAGAACTCCTTCGATCAGATGCTTGCCAGTGGTTTGTTCCGAAGATGCTGGGACCGGACAGCAAGCCTCTGAAGCCCACCAACGGTGGCGGGTTGAGTTGTCTCCAAGACTGGCCGTGGAAGGCGGGAGCCAAGGAGCCAGGGAAACCCTAAGATTGGGTGAGTCTGTTTAGGGCGATGTGCACTTGCTACATGTACAGTTTCTTGATTTGGCCGGTTCTTCGGGCTTTCTGGCCAGTTCTTTGGGCTGCCAAGTAGGTTTCCAATTGAAACTGCGATCAATAGCAGCCATGGCTCTGAACATTTGGGTTTCCGGGCCACTTTCTGTGAGACCAAGGGAACCTCTTGACAGCCATGCGGTAGTCTAATGGTCGACTTTGGTATCATGGAGGGTAATTGTTTAGTTCTAGACAACCTGTTTGGCAGCGAAGTGAAGGGAATCAGCCTTCAGGAAGCTTGATTTTCAGTTTACTCTGAAGGTCATCTCATAACACTACCAATCCCCCTCCACCTCCGGTACATGTCCATCCCCCTTCAAATACCCACCCGTATAGAGCACATTGTGGAAGATCAGCTCTTCCATGGTGACTACTATTTTTTCGTCAGGGGTTGACATACCCAAAGCTGGCATTTTGCATGGGACCCGCGAAAACCCACTCGCGTGCATTTCGTCACAGAACGTCGCCTGCCAAACTTACTAGGTGAAGTGGGGAAGTCCCCAAAGCGCAAACTCAAGTCCAAAAGCTCGCAATGCTCGTTGGAAGCACGAAGGCCCAGTGGCCGACTCAAGTCCAATGCGCCAAAAGGACTGTACACCTCGGTTGGCCTGCGCCAACCGCTCACATGGCGTTTCAGGGCGTTTCAGCACTGGCTGGGTTTCCGAATTTCACCCACTCAAGGTTCTTCACTTTTAGCAGGATATCTGAAAACGGACAGCTAAGATGGCAGCAACAACAAAAAAGAAAAAGCCCAAAAGCAGCTCCCCGGGGCTTTGCGCCAGAAGCTCGCTCCCGATGGTCCAGCCCTCGCTTCAAACATGACAAAACAGACTTGTTCTTTGGTTGTTACTTCAAATGTACCCACTTCTGGGTTGCTTCCCGTGAGCAAAAGGTCCAACCTCTTGCAGGTTTAATGGAAAAGCCATGAGCTCCAAAGAGGGCCTCTCCAGTTCCAAAGAGGTCACAGAGACCAGCCGTGACTTAAACTAGGTCCCCCAATTGTGCCCTTTTACCCTTTTTTGGGGGAGGGTTCCCCTACGAAAATAGACGACATAAAAAAATCGGGCACCCTTATTCTAACCTCTCTACTGGCGGATCTAGTAAAGAAAGAGCTTGCGCAACTCGCGTCATTTTTTTTGTCAGGAGGAGGAGTCCACTTTGGGCCAAGAGGAGCGGCTCTTTCGGTACTGGCTGAGCATGGTGAAGACCCGCACGGCGGGGAGTCTGGGCATCATCGTGGGCACCCACCTGGACAAGGCTTCGGCTGGTTCAGCCATCGGCCCCTGAAGAGAATGAGGGAAGCCGAGGCCTAAACATGAGGCTTAGGGTTCAGCGGGCCACCTGGGACCGCAAATAAGTTTGAGGGAAGCCTCAGAAATGTCGCCGGTTTTGAGCCACCGGCTGAAGCTATTGAGAGAAGAGGCCGAAAAATGGCAACGGCCACGGCAACGACGCTTTGGCTGTGTTGTTCAAAATGCATCTTTAGATGCTGGTTTCCCTTGTGGTGTCCCGTTGCGGGTCAGAGATTGCCCTGGTTACCCATTAGGATTGAGGATGCTCCCCCATGTTCAACAACCTACTCGGGCCCTCCTGTGGTATCTGCGGACAAAGAACACAATTGGCTGTGGCTCAAAAAACCGGTACCCAAAATGGAACCCTGGTAAGTGGAAACATGGACCAAATCCTGCGTAACCCCTCCTGTTTAATTTTGAGCCACACCCAGCTTTCCAGGGAATATGGGAGGAGCAGATTCATCCCCAACCCTGCATTTCTTGGAGAAAGACAGGCACACCACAAAAAAGGGTGTGCACATTTCTCAAAGTGTTTGAAGCCGAAAGGATGCCTGGCAAGAAACATCTATCTTTGTTCAACCAGGGGGGGTCAAACTGTGAGCTCTGACTGGTGCGAAATTTGTTATCTCCATCCTCACTAAACAAAAAGCCTGCAGAAGGTTTCTTTACAAGGGAGTCCCGCCATGATCAACCAACGGGCCGGCGTCAAAAGATAAACCAGAGTTCTTGCAACAGCGGGGTGATGTTTGAAGGGCATGGGGAAAACTGTAAGCCCTCGTTGGTGATATGAATTCAAATTATGTGTTGTATTTCTTCAAATTGACAGGTGGAACATTGAAGCTCCAACCGCTTGGACCCGACAAACAAATGGCCGGCCCCTGGCTTGTCTCTGTTTCGTGTGGCTGTCGAGACAATCAGCAAGCGAGGGTGGGCTGGAGATTTAAACCGCTTGTGTGAGGCAATAAAGAAGAGAGGGCCTAGCTGGTCTCTTCATGTGCCTAGAGGTGTTGAAAGTACAGCAGAGAAATGCAGTATGACAAACGTACAAGGACAGCAGCATCGCAAGTCAACATACGATGCATAAGATACACCCAAGGGACTTGTGCGAATAAATGGCATGTGTCAGATAGAAGCATAAGTGATCAGTATGATGAGGTTCGGGTGTCTGATATGGACCAAGAAGTTGCTGACGTGGCCCATACTAATCCTGTTGAAATGTCCATGTTCGAGACATCGACCGTATTGGAGATACATTTGGTTAAGGTGTCAACAGGCACACCCTGAGCAACAGCATGAGATCGCCATCCAGAACAGTGGAGACCAGGCCCGCTTCAAGCAATCAGCAGGGGGCAAACAGACAGAGAAAGAGAGAGAGAGAGAGAGGTAGTAAGAGAGCAAGAGATCCACAAAGAGGGCAAGATAGAGGGGAATACACCGTTCCTCTCTTCGAACCTCTTTCACTTTGACAAGACGTTTGGGATCCATCCAACCTCGAGCATACGGGACGCCTGTACAAATCCTCGGATGGTGGGTTTTCGGGTGGATGTCTTCCACCCACAGTACGTATACCATGGCCAATTTCTCAAACTTTACGATTGTCAACGGACGTTCAAGGGTACTGTGGATTGACGAAATCCTGCACCGTCCAGAACCCCTAGAATGATTTGATTATACCGCCAACAAGTATGGTTTTCCATATGGTTTCCAAGTGGCGCGGTCTCGGATTTCATCCAGCCACATGTTGAATCAAACTGAACCGCAGGTCTACAAGATCTTCAAGGCTCGGGGCCGATTCGAGTCATCGCGCCATGGTGAACTGAAAGGCGAGTCGGGCACGAGTTGCCCTGTGGCCCTGCGCCCTTGTTCCCATTTGTTTTGGCCAGGGTGTTCCTTACAACATCAACCACTGCTCCCCCACAACAAACAAACAAACAAACAAACAAACAAACAAACAATGAAACAACACACAACAACAAAAGGCGAAGACATGAAAAAAACCGTGCCCTTTTTTTGCCCATGGCCACTGAGCTTCTGAGATGGGTTCTATCCTTTGACATTGAACCTGTTGGACGGTGTTTTCATTTGAGTCTAGGCCCAAGAAATGTTATTGTTGCCATTCAACTCAGCTCAGTTTGGCAAGTGCCTCATTTTCCATTTGAACACCACACCTGTGAAGTTCTCTTCCCTCTGGGCAACGCGAGTAGCCTCGCAAAGGGGATTTGGTTTTGAGCTGGTGGTTTGTTGAGTTTCAAGGGGTAAAGGACTTTCATTTGTATGTGGGTTCCACTATGAACTCCTTGCCTAGACCCTAAATCAATATTTTCTCGAATGCCAACCAACATGGCATTTCCAAACCCATGAATCCATTCTGGCCCCATTGGGTAGCGAACGGTTGCAAACATGTGAAATTACAAATAGCGAGCCGATGAAGAAGCGAGTCGCCTGGGGCTCATCCATGATTTTATTCTCGTAGGCTTCAAAACCGGGATTACTCGACAAAAAGGCAATTGTACTGCCCCAAGTACTAGCACAATGCTTCGCACTTGCAGCAGGAAGATCTGGAAAGAAACCGTTAAACTGTCGGATCTCCGCTGCAAATCTCACCTCACCCCAGGACAACCTGCAACAGAATTAGCCTTCACAAAAGCGTTTGAATCCGCGGGAGAAAAGAGGGATGTCCTTGGACAGTTGTCGATGTTTGTTTTGTTTCGGGGCGAATGAGCAAAACATGGCAAAACTATCGGTTCTTTATTTGTTTTTGGGGAGGGGAACACCGGTCCTGGTGGTTTCTCCGAAGGTTACAAGTGCCGGCTTGGCTCATGGACTTATCTGGGAGGGGTATGAAGTCATGGCGTGCCCGAGTGTTCAAGAAATGGGTAAGGTCACTTTTGTTTATCCTCCCACCCTTTCCACATGGAACCTGACGTTTGGGGTGTCCTAAAAGACCATGTTCCTTTTAAAGGGACCGGGCCCCGAACGTCAGGTTGCATGTGAATTGATGGGAGGGTAATTGTTTGCCTGTTTGGCATTGCTTCAGCAAACAAGTCGACATTTTGTAGGGGGGCTGTGCCTGGCCGAGCGAAAAACACGGATCCGTGTGGACTCGTCCCAGGAGGACGAGAAAGCTGTGGAGAATTTCCTGCAGCAGATGGGTTCCAAGACCAAAGGCTTCCTCAAGTCCATCGGGCTGCAGAATGCCTTCTGGAGCAATGAGGCGGGCGGGCTCTGTGTTTGGCTAAGATGGTCTGGTGGGGAGGGGGGGGTTGCCGGGCTGAGTGAGGCAACTGGGTTTCTTACCTCTTAAAAACACAACTTTTCAACTTTTTGGGTAACATGGGCTATATGTCTGTAAAAGATTAACTTCCCCAGGGCTTGGAGTTTTAAGGGGTAAGGGTTTCAACTATGGTGACAAGTAAATTGTTTAAACAACACGTTGGGTTGCTGGGGGGAGGTTTGCCCGGACCGAATGACGGTCACTCTTGGACGTGGGTTGGGCATTGTGCAAATCCTACACGAATAGCAGTGAAGCGTGGCTTCAGTGGGATCACGGGAAAGTCTGCAAATGTCCAACTTCGCGTATCCGAATCTCAGATTCGAATACGCAGTGCTGGCCGGCACAGCATTCTCATTTGCTCGAAGTAGGCTGACTCTCTTAGTGAGAGACCTTCAGAATGCCACCAACACTTTCATGCAGCTGTCCAGGCCGGGCTGCCTTGTATATGCGAAGATAACTTGCTGGCAGAACTTCCGTTCCTGCTCGGTACTGAGAGTGCAGCGGAGACAAAGGCCAGCATTCGGGAAGGTAGCTCCTTCAAACGCAAGAAGACCCCAAGCCCGCTCTTAGACACTAGGTGTCTAAAACCACCTGCGGCAAAGTGGCAGCGTGTCAGATGAGCAAATGGGACTGCGCAGTCGCGTAGGGCGCGCAGACAGCGGAGAAGTCACATGGCGTGTGGGGCTGGGGGGTCCGGATCGGCTAGTTCGAAACACAGGTTGGCCTCGACATGGATTGGCATGCGCGGGGCAGCATGAAAGTCCGGGCAAACCCCCCCCCCGTCAACCCAACATGTTGCTTGGCAGGTTGGGCAAGACTGTGAGTCTGAAATTTGCTTTCCTGTCAGCATCCATCAGCAGGGGTGGGAAAAGCCTGAACCATACAACTATGTTCAAATGGGGTTGGAGTCCTCATAGCGACGAATCAGGCCTATTTGGGGTTAATAGGGTTCCTTTTTATTTTATTGTTATTTTGTTCGGGGTTCCCCTCTTTGAGGAGCCCCTGACAATCATGGCGTGGAGGGTGCGTCCCAGGTTGCGCCAAATGTTTCAACGACTTGGCCACGGAGTTAGCTAAATGGTTACGACCCATTGAACAGAGACTAACAACTAGGTTAGGTGGTTTATAATTATACGCATGATAACTCACCAGTCCCAGGCCATCTAAGCATAGCTCCGGGCCATATGGGCCAGAGGAAATTTACCTCTACCTGATTTGAGGATCCATTGGCCAGCAAGAGAAGGAAACGTTTCCGGCTGGTCGTCGAGGGTTTTGGGGGGAAGTTGGGTGCTGGATTCGAAAGTTCATTCGTGTGAGCGATGTCCAAAGCGCCCTCAATTTGGATTTAAATCCATTTGCCAATTTGCCTCATTCTTCTTGGGTTGGGAGGGGAGGGCGTTGGACGCGTCCATTGCACCTGCAAAATCGATGCTGCGATCCAGAAACCGGTCCCGCACAGGATGAAGATGGATGAAGTGAGCAGGTTGGTGTGCCCACACATTCCATTTTCAGTGTATTCCGCTTTCTTGGTTGGAGCTCTCTTTTCCCAAAACAAATAGCTAGTGGCCGAGTGGGACATTGGTTTCTTCACGGACTGACAAGAGAAAGGAGCTTGCTGGCCTCACCCCGTAGCAATTATTTTTGCTTGGTGACGTCTAGGCGTGCCTTCACACCCCATTTGGGGAAATTTGAGGGACTGCGTTCGAAGAGCGCTGTTGAAACCCCAGGGTGATTTCAACAGGCGTTCCTGGAGAAATATATAAATATCTTTATATATACACATATACACAGATATACATGCATTTGTGTGTGTACCAACTGTCTTTTGGAGATCGGGAACAACACCCCGCTCAGTGGGCTGGTTGGTAGAATTTCGATCGGCTGCTAGGAGCACGGCCTGTGCTTCTTTCCGGTGGACAACAGCCAGTCTGTAGAGAAGAATGGCGTGAAGCAGCTGCAAGCAGCCATCCAAGACATGGTGCAGGCAGGTGAGGGAGCAAATCTCACTTTCGCAGATTTCATTGGCTCGTTTTGGAGGGGCAGGTCCCCTTTTATGACTCAAGAACCCAAAATGGGTACCGTTTTTCCACGGCCACTGGAGGTTTTGTGTTTGAAGTGCTTGGCTGTTTAGTGGCACCCAGTTTCACTTTCTGGTGGTTTGCCTTTTTAACTGATCTGCCCAAGATTGAAGCTGTTCTACTTCTTTTTCTGCAAGGGTCATCGTTGGCAACAGATAAACCAGGTCGTGGGTTTGACCAGGGCAGGCTGCGGGTGGAGGGCGATTTGCCTTTACACCAGAAGGGCTACCAATGATTGGTGAACCCCCTATGACTAAAGAGTCCAAGTATTCCCAGCCGTTTGCCAGCCAATGCTACTTTCAAAGAACCCTCTCAATTTGTTGGGGCACCTCCCAAACCCCCCTCTGATTAAACACGCCCCCTTTTCGGCCCAAAATGCAGAGACAATACTAAAAACCATAAATCAAAGCTATTGCCAATACTTTTGCCAATACTAACTCCTTTCATTGATAGTCTCAAGGGCTACCATTCCCAAAATCAATCAAACGGCTAGCCGGTAACAGCAAAATTTCTTAGCACAATTTGTTTAAAGCAACAAGGTTTGACAAGCTCGTACAGGGTACCCCCTTCCCCGAAGAACACCAAACTTGGATTAATGAAGTCCCTCTCAGGGCCTTCGAAAAGCATGAAATGCAATTTCCTTTTACTTCCCAATTGCAGTCCGTTTGGCAAGACACGGGTCCCCACGGGAAAGGACCGGAGAGGACTGGTCCGGATTCATCCCTCCCAAAATCCGGCTTTCCCATACCTTGTCGACTTTGAGACCGAAGGGAGGGGGTGGTTTACCAGTCAGGTTCCACAAGTATGTTCGCCCAAAATGACTGGCTTTCAGTTGGTACCGGGCATGGGGCTCACTAAGTTTCCTAGAACAGGCACAGGACCAGTCCTAAGTTTCCCATGTCCTTGTCCTGCAGCTCATATATCACAAAGGCTCAACTATATGGGCACAAGGTGCCAAAGGTACCCAGGCAAGAAAGGCACGCGAATCACCTGCATGAGGATCGGGCCGCTTTGAACTGCTCATGGTGTTACAAGCAGGGCTGCCCCAATTCGAGACAAACCTACATATATGGCATCGCCAACCTCCTCCTTTTCCCAAAGACCAGAGCAGGCAAGGCGATCCTTGGACTTTTCCCTTGCCGTCCCATTCGTTGGAACCAGGTTCCCCTCATTGACTCTCTACAACCTGGCTTTGTAGGGTATGTAGTTGGGGCCATCAGTCCAAGGCACCTTGAGGGGTACAATGAATGTGCAGAAAGGTGGCCTTTCTTGGGAGATGGCGAAGTGGGACCCAACAAAGTGCGTTCCCAGCCCTTTGGTATTCCATTTGCAGGTCCATTTCTTCTTTTTGGAAGACTTGAGCCACAGATTTGCGTGCGCCAGGACTCCCAGAAGACGGGGCCCCACAGCAAACCGCAGCCTCTGCTCTACGTGAAGCCCGCTTGCAACCAGTCCCCGCTTCATGAGCCATAGTGTGGATGGACGAAATCCATTTCGCACCACCTAAGAAATCCTGGTTCCTGATGATTCCCCTGTAAATACCAACAAACTATGGTGTCGCATGGTTTCAAAGTGGTGCAGGATATCGTCCACCCACAGTAGCAAAGCCATCATTGCAGCCTAATTACTAGTAACTAGTCCGGACGCACTAGGGGCCGGGAAGAAGTGCGAGGGGCCATCAACGAGCGCCAAGGTGTGGCTTTTGCTTCCCGACTTTGACTGGGTGACGAAGCCAATAAGAAACGCCGAGCCCTTGTCTTCACTGCTATCGGAATGAATTCTTCAGAAAGCTTGTCCAGTTCCTGAACGGTTGGCCAGCCAAACTTGATCAAGTTTCTCTGCGTGCTGTTCTCCAAAGTCGGTCACTGGGCTCATTTGCTTTGTTTGGTGAGGGTTCGCGTTGCGAGACAAGCTGACAACACAAATCAATGTTTTCTGAATAAGCCTAAGCACAAGTCCTTTTGTGCAATGCTCTGTTGCTTTTTGCTGGGTGCAAAAGAAGGCGGTTCGTTGTGGGCATCTGGGCTAGTGGCTGGGAAAAAGGGGGCCCCGTTCTGGACGCCAGCGATACCCGGGACCCGGGCTGCGCGGACCGTTTTGTTTTAAGAGACGCATGTGTGTCTTTATGTTCATGCCATCGTTCCTTTCCGTGAATTCGTCTGGAATTCTGAGTTTTACCAATAGCAGTTCCCGCGTCCGAAGTCTATTTAGCGTCTTGCTCAGATGTGTATGGGAAGTCAAATGGCCCCTTGCAATGAGTCACCAAGGAGCCAATGTATGCTCCTTGTTGACAACATGTAAGCAGGGGATAGTAGGGGGAATGCGAGACGAATGGATTAAGGGTGCATAAGGGCCCATCTGACATTTTCGGAAGATGTATGATCCCAGGATGACCTGTCGATCCGGGGTCCCTGAAAGATACCAGCACCCAAATGCCAGCTCATTTCGGAGCAGGTCTTCTTTGTTTCAGCAGAGTTCAATGTCTTTGGCACGTCCTTTCGTATCCGATTACCTACCAAGAGCTTCGGTTTCAGAACCCTCCCCCCCCAGGTTCCGGGGTTGGCTCGAGCGAGGAAGCTCCTGGATATTCTCCGAGCAGATGGCCAGCCTCCGTACCTGAAGGTGAAGCAAGCCCCTTGGGTGAATTTAGGCCGGCAGAGCGGTGAGAATTGCAGTCTTGAGGGGTTGCGAGTTTGCACGGTGTACACCTTGCAGTTGCTCAATAATGTTATATGTGTAAAAACTTGTCGGTTTTGAAAGGGAGTCTTATCACTGGAAAATATGTTTCGTTCCACGGGGCGAAAACGCAAATGGAAGTAAGCATTGCCAAACTGAACTCGCACTTTTTGCCCTGCCCTTCTGGTTCCATTCTAACCAGTAAACTGCCCTCCCCTATGTGGCAACCTTCACCCCACAGGGATGAACTATGAATCACCCTGCCCACGAACCTAGCACCTGGAAGGTACCTGGAAGCCCAGTTTCCTCACGGATACCCTGTTAGGTGCCAGGCTAGTTCGAGGGAAACCTCGATCCTTGTGAGTTCAACCATTGAGCCTAAGTGAGCTGTGGGCCATTTGAGCTCATTTGGAATCCCAACGGGCAGCCAAAGGGAAGGAACCTATAGTTTCAAGCCGCGGAGTTGCCCGTTTTGCTTTGTTCATGTGTTTTCCTTTACCTTTGCTTCCGTTTGTTGTTTCTTGATGTTGCTTTGGTGTGTTTTGCTCGTTCCTCTGTGTTTCGCTGTTTTCCCTTTGTTGTTCTTTGGTTCTCCTTTGTTTCCCATTGTGTTTTTTTTTCTTACCTTGCTTTCCAAGTTGTCCTTGTGTTCCCGGCCGCAGGAACGGGGGACTCCTTGAGGACGCTGCAGTTTTGCGTCCATGGTTCAATTCTTGGGTGAAACATCTATGATCTAGACCTTCAGTGGTGCCGTGGTGCCTTTTCCCCCTTTCTCTAGGGGGGGTCCCAAATCATGTGCAAACAATGCCCTTTCTTTCCATGTCCATTGGATGTTTGGGAGAATGGCCCGTGACTCCTTGCCATCTTGGTAACAAGTCCACCTGCCTTGTCGAAACCAATCCTAAACCGAGCCTAAACCTGTCCTACACCATGCACACGTGATTGTTGTTGTGTTATTCCCTTGTGTCCGTATTCTTACCTTCCTGCCTCTTCCTCTGAACTCGGACACGCTTGGCTTCGAATAGGACACGCTCGGGCAAGGCTTGCTGATTCGTCGGTCAACTCGGGGGGGAGGCCCAAATGTCCACCACACACCCCGCAAGTTTGGGGGCTGCCCGCCCAATATGTTTGTCTTGGCGTTTCCTTGAAACCAACCTTGCAAAAGGGGTGGGTTGTCCATAAACCCTCCTTGCAATGTTCTACACAAATCCATAAATCAACCCATAGCCCGCAAATGAGCCAACCAACTAAGCAACCAAACGAGCAACCAACAAAGCAACCAACCGAACAACCAACCAAGAAACCAACCGAGCAACCAACAAAGCAACCAACCGAGCAACCAACAAAGTGAAACCCACCTTGGGTCGAGGTGGCTCAGCTGGCCGCACACTTCGGGCTCAAAGCGGAAGAGCCTGAGGCGTGGCTAAAAGGGATCCAGACTCTACTTCATATCCGAAACCTTCGGGGGGTGGGGGAGGAATCAACCCAGGCACCCAGTGGCCACTGGCTGCCCTTGTTTCCGTGTTTTGGAATGGGTCGTGTTTGTTTTTTTTGGAAGATGGGATCGGGTTGTTCGAGAAAAGTGGGATGGCACCATGGGAATCTGGGCTTTCTTGGGCGGGCTTGGGTTCTTCCAAAGCTGGGAGGCTCTTAGCCAATCCATGGGTGTTCTGCGTTACCCGACAGGGAGCTTGCTTAACCCAACCAATCAAGGCGCCACTGACCGCTTTTCTTGGGGCCAAGGGCGTTGGGCAAACAAGTCTTGTCCTCCTTGTTTGCCTTATGGAGCCGCGAAGCCTATGAAGCCAAGGGCTTCAACAACTTCCGTGCCAAGCCCGTTAATTTTGATTCGAAACCTGGTGAAATGTCGGGATCGGATTTAGGCAACCGTGAACCACTTCCCTTGGCGGCTCCCAGCCGTTTTCTTAGCTTGTTTGGCTTTTTAGTTGGTTTAGTGGTTCGGTTTCCGAATTTAACCCACAAGTGAACCTGGGATCTGAACCCAACTCGGAGGTCTTCGAAGCATTGGCCTTCCTCCATGAGCTTGGGGAGGCATGGTAGGGCGCTCGCTTGGGGGGTGCTTTCGGGGATGCACGTGTTTGGATTGGAAGGGCGGTTTTGACTGCCACGCTTGGCTTCCGGTTTTTGATGTTGTTTTTACTGCCAGGTTGGAGTTTGATGTTCTCCAAAAACAAGAAACAAAACGAACAAAAACTGTCATTCCTTGGCGGCTTGAAGGGTTGGGTTTTTGTTTAAGGTCGGCACTCGGTGGTGAACGCGCCTATGAAAACCCCCATGGGCCGGCTTTGGCTTGGTGGGATCCCGACTACTGCTTTGTACGATGTTGGTGTCTTTGGGGCCCGCGGCCCGGGTGTTGGGACCCTTTTGTTGTTTGCCTGCCTTTTCATGGTTGTTGTTGGGAAACATGTTGTTGTTTTTTGCTTATTGTGGTTTAGTGGTTGGAATCCCCACTTAGCTGCTAAAATTTGAGAATTTCTGCTCCCCGAACCCAACGTCAACCAAGTTGTGGTGCTCTCTAGTTCCTTTGTGTTGGTGTCCCAGGAACCACGTGCCCTAGCCGGCAACGCATACCACGGCCCAAATATCAACTTGGTTTGGCCCTGTGTTTGTTTTGTTGGCTTGATCTAGAATTTGGGTTGCTCCGTGTTTTTTTGTGCCGAGCCTCCGAACAACCACAGGATATACGCTTGGCTTGCTTTTGTTTTCCTCAGCGCTTTCCATGGAGTATGGGCCTTGCCCCGGGAGCATTTAGGACCAGACTTTGCGCGAATCGGACCAAGGCTTCAAGTGCGCCACATGTTATTCGAGCACCGAATTCCGAGCGGGTCTCCAAAAACATATTTTGACCGAAGCTGCAACGAGCTGACCTGTGGGCATAACCAGCTCACCCATGAATGGCCTTTTGTTGGGGGATTCCTTTGCTCCTGGTGTGGAGGGTTGCACAGGTTTCCTTGCAGGATTCATTGATTTGGGCCAGTCCGAGAATCAAGCAAGTGCCCGCTGATGCAGGGTCCGAATCCTTGTAAGGCACATGGTTTTGGGATGCATCCTTCTGCCGGCCGGAATCCTGTTATGGGCATTGAGGTTGTGTTTCTTTGTGGGTCCCATTTTCAGGCTGGTCCAAAGGGACATTTTCGGGGCTCCAAATCCCCTTTTTGAGACATACCCAGGTGTTGTTTTTTTCAACTGGACGTAGGTCCATTTCTTCGCGGACACGGTGGGCCTGGCTTCCGAGGGCGTTTTCACGGACCCGGAGATGCTGGCGCTGGCGCAGGCGCTCGATGGTTCTTCAAATCGGTGTCCCAAAGTTGACAAATCCCCCAGCGCCGGCATGGCTTCTCAAAATGGTCGTCTAGGTTCCCCAGCTAGGTGCCTTTTTACCGTTTCTTTTTTGGGGAGGGTTCCCCGACTAAAAAGGACTACAGAAAAAAGAAACGGTACCCTTATTCTAACCTCTCTACTGGAGGACCTAGTAGTGTTGACCTGATTTTCCACCCCTGTTTATTTTATTGGGGGTGTCCCTGAACTTACTGGCGAATCATCACGATTGGAGGGGAACACCCCGCCCTATTCGTAAACTGGGGTTTAGTTTGAGCAACCCCCGATCAGTTACGTTAGCACATGGACCTCCCATTTTTGGAAATCTTAATATTTATTGAAACAGTCACCGGTCTTACACTGAGTTTGGCCTTGTGTTTGGCAGAATCCGGCACGTGCCGAAATACAGGGAATTGCGAATTGTGCCTGTTACTTTCTCGTGCGCCCCACTTTCCCAGACAAGACAGCAGGAAAAGCCCCAAGGTCGAAAGATCGATTCGCTTTGGGCAAGAGGTTTGAAGCTTGTTCACTTGAGAGCAGAGAGCAAATATAATTGAAGGATCTTTTGGAATATTTTTCTGGCTGTTGTACGGCTCAAGTTGAAAATCATACATCTTGTCTTCGTTTAGAGGGTGAAGCCCCAGAGGTTGAATAGGCTTATGTGTTGGCCATTGGGGTGCGCTTCATCCTCCCTGAAAAGTGGCCTGAAATGGAAGCTGAGAGGAAGACTGCCATTTGGGTGTGTCTCTTTTTAGGGGACCTCCCTTTAAAACCAACCATATGGGACCCTCAAAGAAAAGACTGCACCCATTTTGTTCTTAATCCCAATTTGACACCATTTGATTCCCCGAGAGGCCAACATCTTGGACTGCCCCCGCGTAGTGGCAAAGATGACGGAGCAGGCGGCACGCGCCAGCGAGCCAGTGAGAAGGTATCCGACTGGTTTCAGGGGCGTTTGACTTGTTTCACTTGCCCGCAACGAGTCGACCGGATGTCTCCCCTGATTTGCCACTATGATTTTGATTGTGTCAAGGTTAGATGGGATAAACCACTCCTTTCCAGCACCTGTGGGGTGAGTTGGGAATTCTGTGAGCTTGCCCTTGATTTTAATCGCCACAGAACGTGGTGGCCCGATGCACCCCTCAAATCCAAAGGTCTTGTTTGTCGTTCATCCCAGCTCATTTTGGTCATGATTTGATTCTCTTCATGCCCTTCCGGACATGTGTCAAAACGACCCACCAGTCCAAGCGCTTAGTTTGCACCCATTGCCGTAGCCAAGCGCTGGTCCTGACGCCTCCATCCGGTCCCATGTGCTTCCATTGAGACCCGGGTGCCCAACTCCACAAGCCCCTGATCCGGGTGCACGGTACATGTTTCCCGGCCAAATTTTCCCGTGGCCCTGAGCAAAACGTGCAACTCGCACGTTTTTTTTTTTTTTGTTGGGCACCACTCGACTGGATCCGTGGAAAAAGTTGCTGAGGCGGACCTGCTGCACGAGTCAGCGGTCTTAAGTGCGGAGCTGCTGCCGGAGCTCTGGAAGAAGCTTGGAACCAAAGTGGCCCGGGTCCGCCTGCCCTCGCTCACCCCTTTTTTGCTTGGGAGGGGTCCCCTAGTAAAATAGACTACAGCAAAAAGAAACGGTACCCTTATTCGAACCTCTCTGGAGGACCTTGCCAAAGTGGCCCGGGGTTGGCGCCTTACCAAAGAGCAAACCCACAAGGAGAGAGAGTTCCCTTCTGCCTTTCGGGCAGTTGGTTGCAAGTCTTGCAGGATGACGTTTTTAAGCACATTATTTGTATACCTCAAAAGAAATAATTGTTCAGTTGGTTGTTTAGGGTCCTGACGACAGGTTGCAGTTTGTTTTCGAGTCTCGGGTTTCGACTTGACTGATAATTTGGCAGAGATGACTAGGGGATCCCATTGTCTAATTTCACGGCCAATACGTGTATTGCCCCGACGGCCCGCCTGAATGTGTCAGAAAACATGCGCAGGGCCAGTGTTTTGAGAGGTTGAAGCTCACAGGTCCGGACCAAGTGTGTGGGGCCGAAGTCTGGGGTTGGGCCCCGAAATGCGCACCCTCTGCGGGAATCGTGTGTGCGGGATTTCCTTTTTTCCCCTCTTGCACGCAAGCTAGTCTTTGTTTGCAGCCAGCTATGTACACTTTTCTGGCTCTGCTTGCCTGGGCGAACCCACCCAACCCTAAAATCCTAAACCTAAACCCTAAAATCCAATAAACCTAAACCTAAACCCTAAAATCCAATAACCCTGAACCCTAAACCTAAGCTCTAAAACCTAAATGAGCCGAGCCAAGGTCCTGGTCAAGGTCCTGTGGGGCGGAACGCATGTATTGGGGGTAATTTCAGGTGTTGCAAAACTTGCTGGACCACTGTTCCAAAAAGTGCCCCATTAACCAGGGCCATTTGCCCGGGCAACCCATTCAGGGGTTACCCTATTTTTGACCCACAGCCACATGGGGTTCCTTCACTTCCAAAAAGGGCTCCATTAACCAGGGCCATTTACCAGGGCAACCCATTTAGGGGTACCTACTGTGGATGGTTGCGAAACCCATCTCGCACCACCTAAGAAACAGTGGTTTCTGATTCGATTCCCCGACGTAAATACCGTCACAAAGCTTATGGTTTGATTTCGATTCCCTAACGTAAATACCCCACAAACCTTCTGGTTTTTCAAACCATGGGTTTCAACGGTTTTTGACCACGGCCACGGATTTGAAGACCACCTCTTGGTCGAGGAACTTGCTGAAGCTCGAGGCGCCCAAGGCTCAGCCCAGGCGCCCCGAACTCCGAACCGCGACCGCGGCCGCGGGCTGGGTGTTTTTGTGGCGGGTCTTGGGTCGGTGGGGAGGAGTTGTTTTTTGTTTCCCCCGGTTTTTTGGTGCACGTGTTTTTTTTCATGTCATGTCATTTCATGTTTTTTTTTGTGGCTGGTGCGAGGAATTGGCAGGGGAGGAAAAAGAAGGTGGCATGACTCATCCCGAAAAAGAGCCACACTGCTGGTTGCAACTGGGGTGCAGGGAAGGGAATGAGAAGTGGAATGACCCCGACGAAAAAGCCATACTGGTGGTTTCCTTGAAGACCCTGGGTTCATTCCATTTCTCATTCCCTGAGCGCAAGTTTTGGAGGGGTCCAAAGTCTTCAAGTCGCGGGCACCGGAGTGCATGAGATGCACTGCAAGATGGCTCGCTGATCTTATGTGGGGGGGGATTCGAAAGGGGGCGACTGCCCAAGAGTACAAGAGCAGCTGCAAGGCTTCAGCTTTGTTAGCTCCAGCTTTCGACCAGACAGTTGCGGGCAATCCTCCCTGAGCCAATGGGTGCCACCCTCTCGAATCCCCTGCCTCAGTGACTTGCGAAGCCACTCAAGCCGCGCGCCCGGATTTTGCATCGGGGCGCCAGCCGCCAGGAGCAAACACGAGCCGACAGACTTCAAGAAAGTCCTGGTGGACTTTCTGGTGGCAGATGGCTTCTTGATGCCCATAGGAGAGCATAGGAATCTGGTTGCAGGCAAATCGCCTCAGGGGTTCCCGTGGATCAAGTGGCCTTTTTGCCTCAAACAGGGACTGGAGACATCTGGAGACCATGGAATCTGGTTGCAAATGTTCGCCAAATCGCCTCAAAGAGGGGTGATGAAAGTTCCTTACCTGGGGGCGCTTCAACAAGTGCAGCGACATGTTCTGACCCATTTGTTCAGTGGTAGTGGAGGGGAAGCAGAGAACTGTCAGTTTGTTGCAAGGCCATCCCGGGTTCTAAAGCACTCATTCATTCATCCATCCATCCATCCATTCATTCCATTCCATGTCATGTCATTTCATCTCATGTCATTATAGTCCATTCCGTGTCATTTCATGTCATTTGATTTCATGTCATTTCATGTCATGCCATTTCATGTCATGTCAGTAATTAATTTCAATCATTCATTTTAATTCATTCATTTCATGTCATGTCAGGTCATTTCATTTTTCATTTCAGTTCATGTCATTTCATTTCATTTAATTTCATTCATGTCATGTCATGTCATGTCATGTCATGTCATTGCATTTCATGTCATTTCCTTTCATTTCACTTCATTCATTCATTCATTCATGCATTCATTCATTCATTCATTCATTCATTCATTCATGCATGCATGCATTCATTCATTCATTCATTCATTCATTCATTCATTCATTCATTCATTCATTCATCAATTCATTTCATGTCATTTCATTTTTCATTTCATTTCATTTTTCATTTCATTTCATGTCATGTCATTTCATTCATTCATTCATTCATTCATGCATTCATTCATTCATTCATTCATTCATTCATTCATTCATTCATTCATTCATTCATTCATTCATTCATTCATTCATTCGTCATTTCATTTCATGTCATTTCATTTTTCATTTCATTTCATTTTTCATTTCATTTCATTTCATGTCATTTCATTCATGTCATTCATTCATTCATTCATTCATTCATTCATTCATTCATTCATTCATTCATTCATTCATTCCTTCATTCCTTCATTCCTTCATTCCTTCATTCCTTCATTCCTTCATTCCTTCATTCCTTCATTCCTTCATTCCTTCATTCCTTCATTCATTCATTCATTCATTCTTCATTCCTTCATTCATTCATTCATTCCTTCATTCATTCATTCATTCATTCATTCATTAATTCATTCATTCATTCATTCATTCATTCATTCATTCATTCATTCATTCATTCATTCATTCATTCATTCATTCATTCATTCATTCATTCATTCATTCATTCATTCATCATTTCATGGCATTTCATTGTTCAATTCATATCATTTTTCATTTTTCATTTCATTTCATTTCATTTCATTCATTTCATTCATTCCGTTCCATTCCATTCCATTCCATTCCATTCCATTCCATTCCATTCCATTCCATTCCATCCACTGAATTCATTCATTTCATTTTGTTCCATTCCGTCGCGACAACATCCAGTCATCATGCGGCCGCTCAGCCGCTAGCCGTCTGCTCATAGGTAAGCACTGCATGACCTCTAGCGATTCCACTAGCGGTTCTGCTCAGTTTTAGTGGGGAAGCAGAGAACAGTCCGTTGTTTGCGAGGCCATCCCGTTTGTAAAGAACTCCTCCAGCAATTGGTCCACAGGAGACGGGAAGTTCATGGTGCCCAGCCTCCTGCAGCGCTGGACCTCCGAGCTGGCGGATGCACCACCGGATCTCGCGGAACTGGAGCAAGAGGAGACGCACTCGGCTCTCGCCATGAGGTGTGCACTCCAGATTTTGGTCTACATAGAGTTGGTGCATGGCAAAATGCTTGGAGATGTCTCCAAATGATAAGTTCTGCCCAGAACTGGGAGTTGCCCCAGTAGCTTGCAAACGATTGCCATCAGGAAAAGCCATATCGTTTAGCCCCGCGAAGGTCACTGGAAGCCTCAGTATGGCGAGACAGATCTGAGCCTCTTGGTTTCTTAGGAATTGGTCCCACCCTCCTCATCAAACCCCGGGGTATAAATTGGATCACCGGTGTCCTTGAACTAGGTTGCGCTTGACGCGTGCCTGTCGCGGGGGCCTGAGAGCACCTTGGGAAAAACTCGAGTTGTGCAGATATGTTGCTGTGCGCATGCTACATGATCGCGGCCGAAAGATCGCAGAATGATGCGCAGTGCAGAAGATGGGTCCGGTGATGATGTCATAAAACTAATTAGATGTCAGAGGGATGCGGCTACATCCTGAGTCTGAAGACAACCATGCGCGTCGACTGAGGACTTGAGCGGTGCTGTTTGGACATGTTTGGACATGTGTGGAACCGGTTGGAACCGGGTGGAACTAGTACGGCTGGTTGTGACTGATTGGGAGTGTTTGGGAAAGACGAGAACTACTTTGGAGAGGGAACTGAGGTACCACGGCCAAAAGAGACCGCTAATCTAGCTTGAGCGTGGTCCTTGCTCATTGCTTGTCACAGGCTTTTGACTGCATTTGGGAAGAACTTAGGTTGTGCGGGAATGTTGCAAAGTGAATGCTAGATTGATCGCTGCATGATTCCGAACGCGTGCCTGAAAGATTGCAGAATGATGAGCAGTAGATATCCAACACCCTTTTTCTGATCTGTCTTGAAGAGATCTGGACTGCATCCCTCATCGCTCTGACAGTCTGACGCAAAGAAGTATGAGCTGCCGGACATGGTGAAAGGTCCAGTTTGCAGAAGATGGGTCCGGTGATGATGTCACAAAACTAATTAGATGTCAGAGGGATGCGGCTACATCCTGAGTCTGAAGACAAACCATGCGCGTCGACTGAGGACTTGAGCGGTGCTGTTTGGGCATGTTTGGACATGTTTGGACAGTCTGAAACCGGCTGGAACCAGGCGGAACTAGTGCGGTTGGTTGTGACTGATTCGGAGTGTTTGGGAAAGTCGGGAACTACATTGGAGAGGGAACTGAGGTACCACGGCCGAAACGACCGCTAAACTAGCTTGAGCTTGTTCCTTGCTCATCTGCTTGTCACAGGTGTTTGACAGCATTTGGGAAGATCTTAGGTTGTGCGGGAATGTTGCAAAGTGAATGCTAGATTGATCGCTGCATGATTCCGAATGCGTGGCTGAAAGATTGCAGAATGATGAGCAGTAGATATCCAACACCCTTTTTCTGATCAGTCTTGAAGAGATCTGGACTGCATCCCTCATCGCTCTGACGCATATAAGAACGAGCTAGCACACATGGCGAAAGGTCGGGTTTGCAGAACACGGGTCCGGTGATGATGTCACAACACTAATTAGATGTCAGAGGGATGCGGCTACATCCTGAGTCTGAAGACAAGCCATGCGCGTCGACTGAGGACTTGAGCGGTGCTGTTTGGACATGTTTGGACATGTGTGGAACCGGTTGGAACCGGGTGGAACTAGTACGGCTGGTTGTGACTGATTGGGAGTGTTTGGGAAAGACGAGAACTACTTTGGAGAGGGAACTGAGGTACCACGGCCAAAAGAGACCGCTAATCTAGCTTGAGCGTGGTCCTTGCTCATTGCTTGTCACAGGCTTTTGACTGCATTTGGGAAGAACTTAGGTTGTGCAGGAATGTTGCAAAGTGAATGCTAGATTGATCGCTGCATGATTCCGAATGCGTGGCTGAAAGATTGCAGAATGATGAGCAGTAGATATCCAACACCCTTTTTCTGATCAGTCTTGAAGAGATCTGGACTGCATCCCTCATCGCTCTGACGCATATAAGAACGAGCTAGCACACATGGCGAAAGGTCGGGTTTGCAGAACACGGGTCCGGTGATGATGTCACAACACTAATTAGATGTCAGAGGGATGCGGCTACATCCTGAGTCTGAAGACAAGCCATGCGCGTCGACTGAGGACTTGAGCGGTGCTGTTTGGACATGTTTGGACATGTGTGGAACCGGTTGGAACCGGGTGGAACTAGTACGGCTGGTTGTGACTGATTGGGAGTGTTTGGGAAAGACGAGAACTACTTTGGAGAGGGAACTGAGGTACCACGGCCAAAAGAGACCGCTAATCTAGCTTGAGCGTGGTCCTTGCTCATTGCTTGTCACAGGCTTTTGACTGCATTTGGGAAGAACTTAGGTTGTGCAGGAATGTTGCAAAGTGAATGCTAGATTGATCGCTGCATGATTCCGAACGCGTGGCTGAAAGATTGCAGAATGATGAGCAGTAGATATCCAACACCCTTTTTCTGATCTGTCTTGAAGAGATCTGGACTGCATCCCTCATCGCTCTGACAGTCTGACGCAAAGAAGTATGAGCTGCCGGACATGGTGAAAGGTCCAGTTTGCAGAAGATGGGTCCGGTGATGATGTCACAAAACTAATTAGATGTCAGAGGGATGCGGCTACATCCTGAGTCTGAAGACAAGCCATGCGCGTCGACTGAGGACTTGAGCGGTGCTGTTTGGGCATGTTTGGACATGTTTGGACAGTCTGAAACCGGCTGGAACCAGGCGGAACTAGTGCGGTTGGTTGTGACTGATTCGGAGTGTTTGGGAAAGTCGGGAACTACATTGGAGAGGGAACTGAGGTACCACGGCCGAAACGACCGCTAAACTAGCTTGAGCTTGTTCCTTGCTCATCTGCTTGTCACAGGTGTTTGACAGCATTTGGGAAGATCTTAGGTTGTGCGGGAATGTTGCAAAGTGAATGCTAGATTGATCGCTGCATGATTCCGAATGCGTGGCTGAAAGATTGCAGAATGATGAGCAGTAGATATCCAACACCCTTTTTCTGATCAGTCTTGAAGAGATCTGGACTGCATCCCTCATCGCTCTGACGCATATAAGAACGAGCTAGCACACATGGCGAAAGGTCTGGTTTGCAGAACACGGGTCCGGTGATGATGTCACAAAACTAATTAGATGTCAGAGGGATGCGGCTACATCCTGAGTCTGAAGACAAGCCATGCGCGTCGACTGAGGACTTGAGCGGTGCTGTTTGGACATGTTTGGACATGTGTGGAACCGGTTGGAACCGGGTGGAACTAGTACGGCTGGTTGTGACTGATTGGGAGTGTTTGGGAAAGACGAGAACTACTTTGGAGAGGGAACTGAGGTACCACGGCCAAAAGAGACCGCTAATCTAGCTTGAGCGTGGTCCTTGCTCATTGCTTGTCACAGGCTTTTGACTGCATTTGGGAAGAACTTAGGTTGTGCAGGAATGTTGCAAAGTGAATGCTAGATTGATCGCTGCATGATTCCGAACGCGTGGCTGAAAGATTGCAGAATGATGAGCAGTAGATATCCAACACCCTTTTTCTGATCAGTCTTGAAGAGATCTGGACTGCATCCCTCATCGCTCTGACAGTCTGACGCATAGAAGTATGAGCTGCCGGACATGGTGAAAGGTCCAGTTTGCAGTAGATGGATCCGGTGATGATGTCACAACACTAATTAGATGTCAGAGGGATGCGGCTACATCCTGAGTCTGAAGACAAGCCATGCGCGTCGACTGAGGACTTGAGCGGTGCTGTTTGGACATGTTTGGAACCGGTTGGAACCGGGTGGAACTGGTACGGCTGGTTGTGACTGATTGGGAGTGTTTGGGAAGGTCGAGAACTACTTTGGAGAGGGGACTGAGGTACCACGGCCAAAAGAGACCGCTAATCTAGCTTGAGCGTGGTCCTTGCTCATTGCTTGTCACAGGCTTTTGACTGCATTTGGGAAGAGCTTGGGTTGTGCGGGAATGTTGCAAAGTGAATGCTAGATTGATCGCTGCATGATTCCGAATGCGTGGCTGAAAGATTGCAGAATGATGAGCAGTAGATATCCAACACCCTTTTTCTGATCAGTCTTGAAGAGATCTGGACTGCATCCCTCATCGCTCTGACAGTCTGACGCATAGAAGTACTAGCTGCCGGACGGCGTAAGGTCCGGTTTGCAGAAGATGGGTCCGGTGATGATGTCACAAAACTAATTAGATGTCAGAGGGATGCGGCTACATCCTGAGTCTGAAGACAAACCATGCGCGTCGACTGAGGACTTGAGCGGTGCTGCTTGGACATGTTTGGACAGTCTGGAACCGGTTGGAACCAGGTGGAACTAGTATGGCTGGTTGTGACTGAGGGGACTGAGGTACCACGGCCAGAAAAGACCACCAAACTAGCTTGAGGTTGATCCTTGCGCATCTGCTTGTCACAGGCTTTTGGCAGCATTTGGGAAGACGTTGGGTTGTGCGGGAATGTTGCAAAGTGAATGCTAGACCTTAAATTGATCGCTGCATGATTCCGAACGTGTGGCTGAAAGATTCCAGAATGAGGAGCAGTAGATATCCAACACCCTTTTTCTGATCAGTGTTGAAGAGATCTGGACTGCATCCCTCATCGCTCTGACGCATAGAAGAACAAGCTACCGGACATGGCGAAAGGTTCGGTTTGCAGAAGATGGGTCCGGTGATGATGTCACAACACTAATTAGATGTCAGAGGGATGCGGCTACATCCTGAGTCTGAAGACAAGCCATGCGCGTCGACTGAGGTCTTGAGCGGTTGCTGTTTGGACATGTTTGGACATTCTGAAGCCGATTGGAACTGGTACGGCTGGTTGTGACTGATTGGGAGTGTTTGGGAAAGACGAGAACTACTTTGGAGAGGGAACTGAGGTACCACGGCCAAAAGAGACCGCTAATCTAGCTTGAGCGTGGTCCTTGCTCATTGCTTGTCACAGGCTTTTGACTGCATTTGGGAAGAACTTAGGTTGTGCAGGAATGTTGCAAAGTGAATGCTAGATTGATCGCTGCATGATTCCGAACGCGTGGCTGAAAGATTGCAGAATGATGAGCAGTAGATATCCAACACCCTTTTTCTGATCAGTCTTGAAGAGATCTGGACTGCATCCCTCATCGCTCTGACAGTCTGACGCATAGAAGAACGAGCTACCACACATGGCGAAAGGTCTGGTTTGTAGAAGATGGGTCCGGTGATGATGTCACAAAACTAATTAGATGTCAGAGGGATGCGGCTACATCCTGAGTCTGAAGACAAACCATGCGCGTCGACTGAGGACTTGAGCGGTGCTGTTTGGGCATCTTTGGACATGTTTGGACAGTCTGAAACCGGCTGGAACCAGGCGGAACTAGTGCGGTTGGTTGTGACTGATTCGGAGTGTTTGGGAAAGTCGGGAACTACATTGGAGAGGGAACTGAGGTACCACGGCCGAAACGACCGCTAAACTAGCCTGAGCTTGTTCCTTGCTCATCTGCTTGTCACAGGTGTTTGACAGCATTTGGGAAGATCTTAGGTTGTGCGGGAATGTTGCAAAGTGAATGCTAGATTGATCGCTGCATGATTCTGAACGCGTGGCTGAAAGATTGCAGAATGATGAGCAGTAGATATCCAACACCCTTTTTCTGATCAGTCTTGAAGAGATCTGGACTGCATCCCTCATCGCTCTGACGCATAGAAGAACGAGCTAGCACACATGGCGAAAGGTCGGGTTTGCAGAACACGGGTCCGGTGATGATGTCACAACACTAATTAGATGTCAGAGGGATGCGGCTACATCCTGAGTCTGAAGACAAACCATGCGCGTCGACTGAGGACTTGAGCGGTGCTGTTTGGGCATGTTTGGACATGTTTGGACAGTCTGAAACCGGCTGGAACCAGGTGGAACTAGTGCGGTTGGTTGTGACTGATTCGGAGTGTTTGGGAAAGTCGGGAACTACATTGGAGAGGGAACTGAGGTACCACGGCCGAAACGACCGCTAAACTAGCTTGAGCTTGTTCCTTGCTCATCTGCTTGTCACAGGCTTTTGACAGCATTTGGGAAGAAGTTGGGTTGTGCGGGAATGTTGCAAAGTGAATGCTAGATTGATCGCTGCATGATTCCGAACGCGTGGCTGAAAGATTGCAGAATGATGAGCAGTAGATATCCAACACCCTTTTTCTGATCAGTCTTGAAGAGATCTGGACTGCATCCCTCATCGCTCTGACGCATATAAGAACGAGCTAGCACACATGGCGAAAGGTCGGGTTTGCAGAACACGGGTCCGGTGATGATGTCACAAAACTAATTAGATGTCAGAGGGATGCGGCTACATCCTGAGTCTGAAGACAAACCATGCGCGTCGACTGAGGGCTTAAGCGGTGCTGTTTGGACATGTTTGGACATGTTTGGACTGGCTGGGACCGGTTGGAACTGGTACGGCTGGTTGTGACTGATTGGGAGTGTTTGGGGAAAGTCGAGAACTACTTTGGAGAGGGAACTGAGGTACCACGGCCGAATTGACCGTTAAACTAGCTTGAGCTTGATCCTTGCTGATTGCTTGTTGCAGGGTTCAAGTATTTTGAGAAGAACTTGACCTTTTCACCTTGTCACCTTTGGGTTTTCCGTATCGGTCTATTTTAGATGTCCCAAAAGGTTAGCCCTTTATTTTTCAGGTCCTTTGGGCAAGCCTCGAGAAACGGAACGATTTTTTCAGTGGCATGGTATGTCTCCGGGGTTTGAATTTGGGGTCCCAGTTGCTTTTTAGGGGGTTGGTCTAAAGCTGATTGGCGTCATTTTGCCTTGGGGGGGGGGGGGAGGCGGGGTCCCTAAGGTTTCCTAGGAAACCCTACACCCTTGGGCTCTCAACTACCCCATTTGCACCTAAGCCTTAGGGATTCCACAAAGCGCTCCTTTGGCCCAGTTGGGAATCTTCGTTGCAAAAAGGTCGAGAGGTGGATCCACCTTTGATGTTCCAGTCGTTTCCGGGGCCTTGGAAATCGGCGTGGGGACATGAAGTTCCTTGGCCCCCATGGTGCGTTGGAACCGCCCGGCAGTTTCCCTAGACTAGGTACCCAGTGCCCTTGCTCACCCTTTTTTGGGGGAAAAGTTCCCCTACTAACATAGCCGACAGAAAAAGAAATGGTACCAACTTATTCTAACCTATCTACATGGTTGTTGTTGGGACACATTTTACATTTCTGCTTATTGTGGTGTGGGAAATCCCTACTTAACTGCTAGAGTTTAAATTTCTGCTCCCCTTCCAACGTCAACCAAGACTACTGGAGGACCTCTCGTAGAAGAAATCAACCCTTGCGGAGCCCACCCTCAATCAATTTCCGGGGAAAAGCGCGCGGCAACCCATCGACCCGTCAGGACACCTCCTTCAAAGACGCGATCGCCATGGACCTGGGCGGCCTTTCAGCCTTTCGGCGGAAGGGCGCATGGCGGCCAGCCCCAAACCGAAAGGCCGCAAGGCATGAGGCTTCTGCCCAGGCGATTCCATGGAAGCTGCCGAACGGACCTCGAAAAAGGAAGACTTGGTTCGATTTACCGTGGCCTTCTGGTAGCTTCCATGTTTGTCTGAGGGAGCTTCAAGTGGCTTGTGTTGATTGCTGCGCGTTTTTCTGGTGCTTCTTGCTTCTGCAAGAACACAACAATGCAATTGCATCTCCAACAAGCATAAACTGACAGGGCCGTGTTGGGAGCTACTCAGCTGAGGTCCCGGATCTCTTTCCGCAGATTTTGTCCAAGCTGATGCAGAAGAAGGAGATGGAAGCTTGGCAGGACAGTTGCTTCTCGGGTCGGCTGAAGCATGGCAGGACAGTCGCTTCTTGGGTTGGCTGACCCCGCTTGGCGGGCCTCAGCCAACGGAAGCCCCCGGGAGTTGACATGGCTCAAGTTATGCACCAGAATCCCTTTGCCATGGCTTGGACATGAAGTTGCATGTTCAGTTTCACGCAAAAGCACCAGATACAAACTATGGATTTGCGTGGAGCCAGACTGCTGTCATAGCAAGCCATGGCTTGCCTGACAAGCGGAGTTTAATTGAATCGACTGCTATTGAGTTGCTTAGGGGTAAAAATTGGAGGCGTGTTGAGATCACCTTCAGTTTGTGGTAAGTGGATGTTCAATCACTCACCAGCAAATAGTTTTTCGCCTGTCGGGTAGGATTGATTGGTCGGATTTGATCGGCTTGGAGAGCCGAAAGAGGAAGCATCCCTGGACCTTACTTTACCATGTGGGGAAACTGGATGGTGAAGACGCTTACAGCCAAGAAAAAAACATATAGATGTGGATTCACAAATTCCCTGTCTCCCTGACAAAACAAAAGCAAAAAGAAACACCACCGGATGTGGATCCGCAAATTCCCTGTCTCTCTGACAGGGCTTGTGTTTGGAATTTGAAGGAAAACAAACAAACCCCCGTAGCATGGTTATTGTTGGGACCCATTTTACATTTTTGCTTATTGTTGTTTAGTGGTTGAAATCCCCACTTAACTGCTAAAATTTGAGGATTTCTGCTCCCCAAACCCAACGTCAACCAAGGTAGAAGCCCAGTGGAGCCCTGTCCCCTTTTCATAAAAGGCAAGTTTCAAAAAGCAAAGCGTGACCAGTTGCGCCACGTGGCGCTCGAGCTCGAACAGGGCAGGGTGTTTTTCAGGGGTATTTATATTCGGGCCAGTTGACAAATCATATTTACAGGCTGATTTGGAGGATGCCCCTGTGAAGCAGGTGGCTTCGGGATGTATTCTTTGAGGTCCGCTTGCCATAGCGGTTCTTTCCCAGGAATGACGCCAGAGGCAATGCTTTGCTTGGAAGAAGCGGGTAGTTGGAGCGATTTCGCGTGTGGATTCGCTTTCTCGCTTGGCCCTCCACAGCATCGTTGTCCGGTCGTAAACTTGGCTCTTGAACTGGACCTGAACAATCTGATCAGCCCCCCAATGAGTCCACCAAACAGGCAATGCAGATTCTTGTAGATGGGGAAAATCCTCCTGATTGAAACTGGCAGTGGAGCCACTTACCAGGAGTTCAAAAAGGAATAGTGCCGCTCCCAGCCACTTAAAGTGTTTAAAGTACCCGGGAAATCGTCCCCAAAAGGACTTTTGAAAACACCTTCAACATGCAACCGCTTCAAGGGCCGCAAATTGAGCATGAGATCACAGGAGACCTGGGATGCTGCCTTCGTGTATCGCAACGCCCTCCAGATCGACTTGCCTGCAGGGACGCTGATTGCCCTGGAATGCCCGGTGGATGCTTGGGCGGAAATCTGGGCGGGCCTCCCTCCTTTTTCCTCAGGGAGATATGGCTGTGGCTCAAAAAAGTGGTGCCAAAATGGCACCCTGGTAAATGGATCCAAAGACTAAAACCCGCGTAATCCCAGCTCTTTAATTTTGAGCCGTACCCATATGGAGATGTGGGGAGAAAGCATGAGAAAACCAAGGTCACAAAGACCAAGGGGTTGGCCATTAAACAAACACGACGGAGGCGTTCAGGCTACTCATGTGGTCAAGCAGATGAGGGTGGAGGTCACGGGCAAATGGGTGCCAAGCCTCTGCCAGACGCCAGGAGTGGACCCATCGAAATGTCTAGTGTTGATGTAAGGACAAGGCGCGTCCACAAATAGACTCCTTTTTAGAGAAACGGTAGCAATGCGCATCAACCTTTGTGTGTTTTAATTACAAGCGGTTTTCCTGATTGTCCACAAAAGGGAGGCTTACCGATCGGATGCACCCATGGCAACAGGAAATCACTACGTGATTCTGGGTTTAAAGGTGACATCCTGACAATTAAATTAATTACTCTCAAAGTGGTCTAAAAAGAAATCACCCAGAGTAATTCTTGAGAACCCGCTGAATAGGCAACCACTTTAAGGGACCCAGGGGATTGCTCAAACAGCATAGGACCGGCCGGAGCGTGTGGTGATTTCTTGCCGCGACTTCGCCAACACGGAGTTCTTCGAGTTTCTGGGGGATTGCCTCTGGGCTCTGGCGGAGGTCTTGCACGAGGCCGAAGGGCCCAAGGGGCCTTCGGCGTGCGGCAAGAAATGAGCCGAGCCCATGGCTCGGTGCCCAAACCAAGTTGTTCAAATCAGGTGGGTGTTAACATGGCCATGGCTTGGCCCAACCCTTCCAGCCTCAAGGTCCTTGGGGGTTGCCTCTACAAACTTGAGCTTTGAAAAGGGAAACCCCATGAAGATTCCGAGCACGGTTGCGAGTTTTCGCATGGAGGGTCCATGGATTTGCGGAATCGAAAGGAGCCGGTGGTTTTCGTGTACAGAGCCACTTGGAAAGCGAGGCCACACTACCATGTTCATTGGATACTTGTCCCTCCCAAATCCACCCCCTCAGACGCGGTTTCAAGACCTTTGCAGGACGGGTCGGGGGGTTTCTCAGGGGATGATAGGGTATTCTGCGGGGAGCGTTTGGGAACCCTTTGACTTGCTTTTGTTAGGAGCTATTGGAAAACCGGTCATCCACAAGATGAACGATCGAGAGCCCTATAGGTTTACTTGACTGCTGTTGGGTTGGATCTTTAGACTTTAACTTTGTGGGACATCAAGGCGTTTTCCACTAAACCCCCAAAAAGTTAAACTTTTTGCAGGGGGGTCAACTGCAACCGAGTGAAGGGCAAGGCTCAGTGACCAACCCAGCTTGAACGCCCGGAGTTCGGAGGCGGCGTCGGCGGTGGCCAAGATCTTTGCGCAACATGTGGTGATAGGCGCCTTGACGACCCTCAGGTTCTGAGACGGTTTCCGCTACCCCCAACAAAAATGGGGTGATGTACATGTATATACCCTTCATAGCGTTCTGATTTGTGGCTATATTATATGTATATTGTTCATATACATATTCCACTCCATCCCTGGAAGTGGTTGGGGGGCAGAAGCCATCACCAGGGTAGAATATTGGTGGGCCATGGTTGCTTTGTTTGCGTAGCCACACTCCTGAAAGCGAATCCGGATGTAAGTGTTTGGGTGCGTTTTCGCGTAAGGAAGCCACGGGGGTTACCGTGATCAATAGGCTCCATGTCTGAGTTTGAACAGGGGGTGCAATGCCTTTTACTTCACTTTTGGTGGACCGATAAATCCAGTGGTCAGCACGTAGACTCACTTGTCTTGATTCGCAGTGTTGCGTTTCCCACAGAGGAAATCACCATTGATACCCTTTCCAGAGGCTTGCTTGGCACTTTGTGGGAAACGCGAATGTGACTTGCTCATACTTGCTCAAGAAGGTTTCTGAAAGCGCAATTTAAAAGCAATTCAAGCAAATCCTGATGTGCTCCTGATTTGCTTGTCACAAAGGTAGGGGTCTCCGGATGTTTATTCCCAGGTCTTAGCAAATGAGCAGTGTTCAAGTTCAGGGAGTAGCGAAGGAACCCGGAAAAAACACCCATCCGAGTAGAAACAACCTTTGGGGGATAACGCCCGTGGAGTTCCAGATACTTTGCACATCTTTGTACCATTCGGATTGGAATACAGTGGGGGCACGGCTTGGCTTTGTTGTTATCAAACCCAGTTCGCTAACCCCCCTCAGATCGCAAGTTCTCATCAGGACTCCGACTAAAGTTGACTTTTGTGCAGGAAAGATGACCCCCCCGGCAAGTTGAAGCCAGAAAACCCCGGCTGGCAACTACCCCTAGGTCCCAGCTCCTTTCAAACCGGTGCCTTCAAAACATGGTAAAGGATGGTAAAGGCAACCCTGGGAAGACGTTCAAGGCCAAACACACCTTCCTACAGGTTGGCTTTGTGATTTCAACCATCACTTTTTGGGCTGGTCTTTTTGTCGAGTTTCCTTCCGGGTCATTCGGAGAGAAATATAGGGAGCACTGAAGGTGGCTCCCGCAAGGGTTCCGCTTCAAAACCGGGGAACTGTCAAGAAAGCCTGTCGGGCAACGCGAGCTGAATCTATAAAGTACTGGAAAGGTCTTGACCCACCCCTTAAGCCAAAGCTTTGTTGCCCAGTGCGTTGCTTCCTTATTATTTTTTTTGGGTAAGGGTTCCCTTTAAACTCAACCAACAAAAAAGGATACCTTTTTCTTCCCAGGGGCACTGGGCATCTGAGAAAGTACCAGCCAATGGCCCCCACCCGGATTTCATAGTGAGGCCAATGTCCCCGCGCGCTGTGCGTGAGAAACACGGTTGTTCAATGATAGGGAATGGTTCGGCAATTTCAAGGACTGCATAAAGACTGTTTAAGCGCTGTGGCTGCGTTTGTCGCAGATAGTGTCGGAATGTGTCCAGCATATATCTACTATACTGCTATAGTTCTACAAGTCTCAGTATGTTTCTAGCGCATTTCCTATTAGATCTTTAGCATGTGTCCTTTGATATGTGGCGTTGCCATCTGGCTTCTTGCATATGTTCAGCACAGGCTTTTGATAATCCCATGATCGTACATTCTACATGTGGTTAGCCTAGCTTGATTGGATTTCCAGCTCAGCTCCTGATATTGCATGGCTAGCGTACAGAATTGTTGCTTGTGATAGATACGTTTCAAAGAGTGTCTGCCAAACTACAAGCATCCAATATCCTAGCAAATGCGTTTGACACTATTCGGAGAAACTGCAAAACACAGCTTGAAGCATGAATCGCAGCACTGCCCTCTCTAAGTTAGGAAAGTGACCACAGAGATTTTCCACCCTGCCGAGAAAAACAACACTTCTCATCCACAACAATTACATTCACTGCGACGTGCCATATTAGTTGCTCTTTGTTCATCGATTTGTGGGTTGCATTTTCTGCCCTCTGCCAAGTGCCTGGTCTTTATAAATTCACCACACCTTCAAAATGTGCAAACTGAGGGTAACACTACACTGGAAACAGCACGAATACAAGCAACGTAGCCGCAAGTTCTTGGCGGTATCCGACACCAAGAGAAATATCTTGCATGGGAGAGATCTACTCAGAAAATGGCAATATCTGAGGAAAACAATCAATCCCTCAGACTAAAGGTATTGGGCATGTCCAAAGCAATTCCCGGCGGGCTTTGGTGTATTTTGTTTTCTGGTCGATGTTTTTGATTTCTTGCCTTGTTTTCCTGGCAGTGATATAAGCTTTTCAAGGGAGCGCGGTTCAGGTAAGACCGCAAAGTAGGCAAGCGCAAAGAAGTGTCAGTTTGATCATGATTCCATTGGTTTCTGTGGCGAGGCTCCCATTGGTGCAAAACTGGATAAAGCGGTTGGCCACGAATCATCCGCTTGGATATTTCTGCAAAGATTGGTTGTGTTCTCTTTGGCCTGGCAGTGCAAAAAATCAACCAATCAAAGTGTAGCAGGGTCTTCCATGTTCTCCCGGGATTGTTTGCCTTTACACGTTTGCCCAATCGGCCAAATATTGAGGTGCACTGCTTGCCAAGGCCTAGTAGGGCAAGAGATAGTGCCATCCCCCCTCCTGCTGGCCGGAATCCTTGTGCCAGATACATGGTAGTGGTTGCCCTCGTTGCCGCCCTTGTTGCCATCATAGAAACCAGCGACATATATTTTGGCAGGATATTTGCCACATGCCCACCGAAAACAAGGATTTCCTGCTTGACCCCGCTGCACGAACATGGCTCCCTACCGTGGTTGTCAGTCCCAAGGTTAGCTAGAACAGGGCTAGTACCCGCTTAGCTACAAGAGATCCAAGTTGACCACCGAGGGCCCATGCTGCAGCAGAACGGGATCCACGTGGTCTCACTTGAGGAGCTGCTGGCTAAGTCCAAAGGCGGCAAGAAGCCGGCGAGACTTCCGGTGAAGTGCAGGACATGGGTTTCTTGGTTCCTGTCCGTGTGGTTCTTCAGACTCTTGCCTTTGCTCCTAACATACATGGCACCCGGAGGGTACCTGAAAGAGCAGTTTCCTCTTGGAGTGTCCCCCTGCCAGGTGCCATGTTAGTGGGAGAGAGACCTATGACATAACTTTAGCAAGGGAATGCGATGGTTTGAGGAGGTTTGTGAGAAGTCAGGGCCATGTGCAATCCCACTGTTGGATCCCCCCCCCCCCCCCCGCTTTTTTGGAATGGTGGGGTCCTTCCGTCCTTCCGTCCTTCCGTTCAAAAGCAAATTAAAAGGTGATGCTCAAAGCCACGAGGTGAAATGCCTTGAATATGTCTGTCTGGCTTGTCCTTTAAAGTGAGAATGCCTTTCTTTGTTGGGGTATGTTTTAAAGGGGAACTCCAAGAAAAACACGGATTCAGGGGAGAATGGGGGTTTGGGAATCCCACTCAATTTATGCTCACTTCTTTTCAAACACCAGCAGGTGCTTGGAGTGACCTAGGCCGATGCGGGGGAAAGAAGTCTTTCTGATGATTCATGATGGGTCCTTTACTGGAGGGCTCCCCTCCCCCAGTTCCAGCTTGGGGTTTACAGTAATTTGGCCAGATGGTGATAATGACAGAGAAGAAGATGCTGGGGTATGCCATTCAGGTTCAGGGCTCCCTTGCATGTGTGTGGGTCTTGTGTTGAAAAGGAAGCCAAAGGGGACCAGCCCATTTCGAGACCAGCCCATAAACCACTCACAGGAAGATGTCCTTCAAACTGGTCTAACGGGAGTCTGTGTAGAACCAAAGCATCTTCCAGAAGCCCTCCCGGACCATGTTGTGCCATGCTGGAGATTCACATACCGCCAAGCGAGTGCGGGTTTTTCAGTCCCAATATTTCCCATGCGTCGGAAGCCCTTTTATCCTGGGGCGGTTGGGCTGTGGTAGGGGCCCTTGAGAAATAACCTTTTGGTAAACTCCGTCTTGGGTCTACTTTCCGCATGGTTGCTTGTCCCGGTGTCCACGTCTTTCCGTGGCCCCCGTGATTTTGCTTCTGGGATAGGTGAAACATCAGGTTTGGGTGGCCAATGTTGAGCTTTGTGCCTGGAACTCTTGGGAATCCTGCAAATTAGCCCTGTTGCCCAATCAGGTCCACCTCGTGGTCCATTCTTTTCCTTTCCCGTTGAAACACGACCAACAAACTGTGTGTGAATCGTGCAAAGTGTATTTACCATTAACCTTGTCTTTCCAATAGAAGGGTGGTCCCTGTCAGACGATCTTATGGGACGATTTTGGAATTCCCCCCCGCCCCACCCCAGCAACACGTCGGAGTTTCTCCCGGAGAGAGTCCTAAGACTTCCCCCCTAGGATGATCGAAGGTTCGGCGGGCCTGTGGTTTCCTATGGGTTTGTGGACAAATGGGCCGCAGAGCAAATTTCTGTGATGCCAAGGGAACAAACCATAACAAACCCCCTTCCAAGAGATAGCCCACGGTAGCACCTTCCGAATGGAGGCATCCCGCCCCAAACTTGGGGTTGGTTTTAAATGGCATTTATCACTACTGGACACATTTTCTCATTCTTCCAGCCGGCTTAAGCCAATTTGGTGGTGCCTACCACCTTCAGGACTCTGCAACGGCCTGTGCAGTTGAGCCAGCTACCTGAGTGGGCCCAACACTTGCTGGAGCACGGCCACCAGGTCCGGGCCAGGTCTCAAGGGCGCAAAACCTGTCCCCCATGTCAGGTCCCTTCAAAAGAGCTTTGGTTCTTTTTGGGGTCGAGACGTCCCAACCTGGGGGGAAGTGTTTGGCACTTTTTCCCAGTGATCCAGTTGCTTTTTGTCCCCGAATAGCAGTTTTAAAGGTCGGTGCCAAATGAGAACTGACTTTTCCTCAACATGCGGGCTGCCTTGTTCTAAAGTGAGCTTCCTTTTGCATGCTTTCTCTCGCAAAATGCAGTTGCAGCCTTGTTGTTGCTTGCCCTGTCAAAAGTTTCACAAGAAAACACCATACCCTGAAGGTAAAGCTTCAGGATATTTGGGAGGGCCTCCCCGTAGGACCTCCAAGGGAAAACCTTGCCAGGGCTTCCCTTCCCACTTCTCCCTAAAAAGGCACCCTGCCTCAAGGCATGTCCGGTGTTCCGGGGCAAATACTGTGGATGGACGAAATCCTGCACCACTCTGAAACCATGACAAGCCATAGTTTGTCGGCATTTACCGGGGAATCAGTCGTTCCAGCGTTTCTGAACGGTGCGAACCGGATTTCGCAACCATCCACAGTAGCGCCCGCGCGACTCGAGTTGGGTTCAGGACATCGCGGCCGCTCCCAAGCTGCGGGACCTCACCGCGACGGGGCCCACGGAGTTCAACGCCGTCACCCTGCAGCAGCTGCGAGACCTGGCGGAGGCGAGGCTCGGGGAACTGGGGGAGAAAAACCCCGCGCGCAGGCGGGTGCAACACCGGCCGGTCGGCGGGCGTCGCCTAAAAGACCTGACCCTGGGATCCTGGCAGGCGTGACTCGTGACCTTTTGGGAAATCTCCATGCTTGAGGGACAAAACGGGAGACATCGAGGAGAACATCTAGTTCTGCAGAGTATGTGATTCCTTCATCCTCTTCTCACCCTCCAAACCTTGGACCTCCAAACCGAACACACCGCCAGGCCGAAAGGGTGACCCTTGGATCCAGCCCTCAGACGCCAGGAGATGCGCAGCGCAGCGCCACAAGAGACGGTGAACATGTACCAGGTGAACGATCAGGTCTGCTCAGCCCGAGAGACAGCGTGAGCTTCCTGAGTGGGGCTGAGCCTGAAGGGTTGGAAAGGAGAGAGCCAAAGGGCCCTCACTTTCCAGGGCGAAGCCCTTAGAGCTTCTGAGGGAACCCCGCAAGACTTGGGGTTTACGTGCATAAAGTGAAGGACGCCTCACACCGTAAGTCGCTTGTCGGCGCTTTCAGGTGGTGAAGCCCGCTTGCAAAAAGCACCAGAAGCCGTACGCGCGGATCCTGAATCTGAGCTAAATGGCATGGTCGTTCTTGTGAACTTACCTTGTGCTTAAAATAGATTATCCTCTAAAAGCATTGGATTGTCCTCGGAGGTATGCCAATCCTTCCCCAACAATGGGTGCGGCAACAGAGAGCCCTGAACGCAAATTCCCGGGTGCGGCCTGTTCTACCCCAAACCCTCCTTTTGTAGAATTTGTTTTCTTGTGTCAGCTTCCCTCTAATTGGTGATTTGGAGTAGGTCGGGGGGTGGTTGTTTGTTGGGATTGCTGATTGTGGAAATTAACATATTTTAACATATTTTAACATGCGTTTGTAGTTTTACCATGCGTTGCTTCGCTGATTTACAATCAACCGCGCAGGTAGGTTGCTTTGAGCTACGTCATTGCCCACCGGCTTCTTTGTCCATTGCTTGGGCGGAACTCCCGCTTAAATAAAAGCCAACAAAGCTGCGTCCCTTTGATGACTTCAATCTACACTTGGAAAAGGGGCGTGCTTTCCATGTCCATGTTTTGACACAAAGGATATCTAAAGTCCAGCTTCAAAAGCAGAACACTGAGGTTGGACTCTATATAAAGAGAAGCCTAAGTCAATTTTGCTTGGAGAGTGACCCTTCAGGTTCCGTGTTTGCTATCAGTGACTGGAAGGACCTGCTCTCGCTTATTGGAACATGTTCGGCCACGTATGTCACTGCAATTGCGTCGCAGTCGCCGCATGCCGCGTACGAAGCATCCTTGCGGGTCTTTACGCCCTCTACATTGGCCCAGTACTTCCGCTGCCTGCGAGTGTTCCTGGCATTCGTGCAATCACTCGGTCTCTCCGTCGGTGAACTCAGACCGTGGAAGTGTACGCGTAGCACCTCGACCCATGCTCAAAGCACCTCCCCCCAGCAGCCGCAAGATCGCAAAGAGGCCTTGCCCCTGCCACTTGGGGTTATAGCCGCATGGGAAAGAAAAGTCTGCTCTGCAGATTGTAGCCCAAACTTACGCGTAGCGTTAGGGTCTTTCCAGTTGGCTGCGCACACCAGTATGCGCTTCGCTTTTTCGGGGGGGGGGGGGGGCCCTCGTAAGCATTGGCACCTCCACAAGTTGAGCCCATTTACTTGCTTGCTCAGTTGGCAAGTTTGGCACCGACACTGTTGTGCCCAAAAAGGTGACCTTATCGACCTTATGGCCAGCTCACTGAGCGGGTCGAGTAGCGGGCGCTGAGGAATTTGGAGGGCCTACAGGTGCAGTGCTTTGTGACGCACGCCTGGAAGGAGGAATGGGGTGGTGCAAAACCGGCCGAGTTTGGCCATTTGTTGATCGGACTCTAAGGAGTGTGTTTGCCATGTGCAAGTGAAACTATCGCCCGGCCCCTAAAATTTGTTGAAGCAAACCATCGTGTTGCTTGTTCTGAGTGCGGAATAGGGAATGATCCTGTGAAACCCATCCCTTGGTTTCGCACAAGAAGATTCCCAACCGTTCATTCCCGCAACCCAACTAAATTCCCTGTGAACCAGCAAGTGGGCCCTTGAGGGAAACCACATGAGGTTGTTTGAAGCTGTTTGGTGGCTTCCACCATGGTTCAACACACGGGTTGTTTAGGCGATTTGGAGCCAAGGCCTTGAACCGTTGTTCCTACCCTTCTAGGGGTACCTTCCATTTCCATTCTTTCCAGGGATCCGAATCTTTGCAGGAAACCACCCAAAAAACAGGGGAAACAAAAGAACCATGGCTGTTCAGGCAACCATCCAAAAATCCGGGGGGAACCCCCCGGTTTTTGAAAAGAACGATGGCTGAAAAGAATGGACGAGGACTCCACCCCCGTGGGTTCGCCCCGTCTTTTCAACCGGGGGGACACAAGGGGAATGGGGAATCCACCGCAAGCCTGGAGGAACTCTTCAAGTTCATTTGGTCCATCGAGCACTGCCGCTGGGAGAAGCAGACATGTCTGGGTTCAGGGGGGGATTTTTCAAGGGTTTTGGGAATGGACCTACGTAGGAATTCCCTTACCTAGGTCCCCCAGTAGTGCCCGTTACCCCTTTTTTGTGGGAGGGTTCCCCTACTAAAAATAGACTACAGAAAAAATGGCACCCTCATTCTAACCTCTCCACTCGAGGACCTAGTTACTTCACTGTTCTTGGCAAGTTTCTTTGTGGTTTGTTTTGTTGGCTCATTTTTAGTAGGGGGCAACAAACCAAGTTTTACCAAGGTTGTGAAGCTTAGATGAAGCTACAAGGGCGGGCCTTTTAAGGCTGAGAGTCGGCAAGAGGAGGAGGACCCAACAGCAACCAACGGATTCAGCCCTGAAAGCCGCAAAACCAAAGCAGTAGCGACTGCACCGGCAATGTTGCAGCAAAGCTGAGCAGGAATCGTAGCCCACTAAGAAGATAGAACCATTTTGAAAGTGTTAGCCCAAGCGCGGCCTTTTGCCTTGTCAAAAGGTCGACTCGCCCCCCCCCCCCCGCCCCGCTTCGCGTAGTCGATAATATGTAAGCTCACAACAATGCATTATTTGCCTTATTGTGCTACAAGGGTGTGGGGGTGGGGTGCGGGGTTTAGGATTTGGGATGGGGGGGGGGGGTGCGGGTTGGGATCCCATTTTGGTCTTCAATTCAACCACTTCCATGCCCATCGAATTCCCCATTTACCCCCAATCAGCGGGAGAAAACGACAACCAGAGAGCCCGTGTTTTTGTGGTAGGTTACGCTATCTAAGGGTTGTTTTTCTTGCTTCCCATTCCACAAAGCAGTTTGGATGCGTTTCTGCGCGGATTCCCATTCCAGAAGTTCCCCTTGTCGCCAGAAAAATGTTCCACGAAATTACCCACGCTGGGAGCAAGGCTTCACCCACTGGAAGCCGGAGCTACCTTTTGCTAACCAGTGAAACTTCACCCTTTGTACTCTTGAATAGGTATGGTTTTACCCTACCAAAGGTAGGTGTTATTCCTTTTACCCTACTAATTTCTGGAAGCACTTGAAGGCAACAGTGGAAAAGATAGCTGCCTAATTCAATATCAGCAATCCTCATGCCAAGAAGCGTGGTGGTTTCCCTTGTCGCAGTGGCGCCCCACTATGGGTGACTGATTTGGGGTCCCCCCCCATTTTTGGACGACCCCAAAAGTAGTCACGGGGGGGGTGGACATCAATGCGGACATTTGTTGGAGGCAGAGGCTCAGGATCTACCCAAAACCGGCGGCCAAGCTTGGGACCAGCCTAGGCTTCACCCACACCCCGGAGAAGCCCAACTTCTGGATCTGCATCTTCGCCATTTTGCAGTCAGACAGCCAGAAGGCCGGGCAAAAACCCGAAAATGGCGCGGCAATTTCCCGGTTGGTTTACTTTGAGCCAGCATAACCAACCGGAGAAGAGGTGCTTCAAAAAAACATACCCATTGAGCGGAGATTTGGCCAACATGTCTAGGTAGCCAGTTCTTGTGCACGAAGTGAAATGGGCTAAACATCAAAGTCAGGTTAAGCCAAGCAACCACTCTTGATGTCAAAATCCGCATATTTCACGTCCCAAGGTTTCACCTCTTTCCAGGAGTACCTTCCCCATTCTTTCCAGGGAAAACGATGTGTTGTTTTTGGAAAAGAACAATGGTTGACATTGAAAAGAATGGAAAAGGAATCAAGCCCTAGAAAAGCCAAGCAAAGAGATAAACCACCCACCGCCATCCGCCTCCCTCTTGGAACCGCAGATGGGTCGGTTCCTGCGTGGGTTCGCCCGTGGGTTTCAAGAGTCCCGATGACTACACCTCTTGGCTCCCCCCGTGGCTTCGGTTCGCCTCGTCTTGGCTAGGAGCTCAGCGATCAGCTGGGCGGGGACCCAGCGCGAGCACCCTTTACAGAGGCCTTGCGGAGGTCCAATAGGCGCGGAGGGCGATGGTTGCTTTTTGACGCTTTTCTAGGGGTTGATCGGCTTTGCTCCTGATTGTTTTGGTGGTTTTAAAGGACCAAAAAGGTTTTAGCCACACTATGGGGTCCGCGAAAAGCGAACTATTCTCCAAACCCTTGATTATTTTCCTTCAAAGAAAGTGAGACATGGGCTAATCAGAACCCAGAAGTGCACCCACTTGCCCAGCAACCCTGTTTGAAAAAGGCCCACCAAAATGGTTCCTTTTCCTTTGGCTTTCCCTTCAACCAACCTGAAAAGCACACCCTTAAAAAGGAAATCCATTGTCTCGAGGCTCCGTCAGAATTAGGAATGAATGAGTCCCCCCCCCCCCGGTGCGTCCCAGGGTTTTGGGGTGGTTTTGTAGAAAGAAGGATGCCTGGAAAGAATGGGGAAGGTACCCGCTAGAGCTTTGCTCGTTTTGTTTTGGCTTTAAAGGACCAAAAAGGAAAACCACGTGTTGTTTTGTTGTTTTTCGTGTTGGATACCCCCTTTTTTGGGTGGTCTTTGCAAGCACAATTGTGAAGGGGCCCTAAGAGACACAGCCTTACACCACCGCTGTCAAATCCTAACCGCCCCACAAAAGGATCCAAAAAGGGCAACAGGCAGCAAGAAAGGGAATATGTCCCAAATATGGGTGCAGCATCGCCAGAAGCCAGCATCCAGGACACCAACTAAGACCAAAATGAAACAGATCTTCAACTTCATTGCCTCTCTTGAGAGGTACCTGGTAGTTCGCAACGACGCAGTGGACGTCTTTACGCGGATTTGGTGCTGTTGGGAGCTTTACTGTGCAGCGCAGGCCGCTCTTCTGCGATACAGAGGTGTGTTTGGTTTGGGTTGGTGCCTTTTTTTTCTGTTGGTTTAAAGGGACACAACGAAAACCACAATTTCGATGGGCCCCCCCTAAGAAAGACAGAGCCACACAGAAGTCGGCGATTCCCATCCCTATGACTACTTTGCCACTTGTTCCTTGGTGGGTGAATGTGGGTATCCCTATGACTACTTTGTCGCTTTTACCTTGCGACTGTTGGATGGACGAAGTGGGTTTCCCACCAGTTGGTAGGTGGTGTATGCCAATGGTTTTGGTCCTTGAGTATTTGTGTCCCTTTTGAGAGCTTGAAGAAGCTGGCTTCTGCCGATCTTCGCGGGGTTATTCGCGGGGTGAATGGTGAGTCTGAGGGCCACTTTCTGCGGGCGAGGGAGGTCCCTTTCAAAATGACAAAGTAGCCTTGGGTATGAGCCACTTAGGTATCTCAGAAAGGGCTATTTCCCCAACCATAGTTTCATCCATCCCAACTCGTGCGAAGTGGACGTCCATCCACAGTACTCCTTTTCTGGGTGGTTGGACAAGCATCGCCTGGTTGCTAGTTCCAAGTGAGTGTCCTTTTGGGGTCAGATGTGCCACAATCAAAACCCGGGTAGATGAAGGTTAGCAACAGTCCCAGCCGGAAATACGGCCGCCTTATTTCTTTACAAGGTTCTGGGTCCATTTTAATACCGGGCTTTGAGCAAGTGACTCAGATGTGCCATCAAAAGGCCCCAAGGAGTTAGAGATGGCCATGGAACCAAAGCAAGATAGATGGCTCAGATGCTCAGAGCCAGGCTGTTTCTTGTGAATCTGCGTGTTCTTTGCCACGGACAGCCAGTGCCTTGTTCACCCCTTTTTCTTGTGGTGCCTTGTTCGCCCCCAGAAAAATAGAGGAGGTAAGCTGAACAAATTGCCATATGTTGCATGGTTTCCCATAAAGTAAGTCTGACTTTGCCCTATAGCCTATGGCTCCTTTCGCTTAGGACCAAGGTTGTGGGGGAAAGGGTCTATCCCCACTTCTGTAACACAAAGGAATCTGTCCTTTATCTGGGGAAAATGTCATTGGGAAGCCCCTTTTTGTTACCAGTCGCAGGAGTGGATTCTGTTTCCCACCGCCCTTTTTCTTGTGGTGCCTTGTTCACCCTCTTTTTTGGGAGGAGGTAACTCGGAGGTAACTCCCATAGGGTAGGTCTGACTTTTCTTAGGACGGGTTTCGCTTTCCGGGTTTCGCATACGGACGGCTCCACGGCTCCTTTCGCTCAGGACGGGTTTCTGCAGAGCGACCGCTACATCGTCACGGGGCCCAGCAAGTTCCCGGACCCCGAAAACTGGGACATCGGCAAGGCGGACGCCTCTAACCTGGAGGAGACGACTTGCGGACGTAGCGCGCCCCTTGAACGGGTGCGCCATGGATCCCATTACCTGAAATGAATGATTTTTGTTTTTTTCCCCGTGTTGGTTTTGAATGTGTTTTTGTCCCCCTGTTTGTTTGTATCGATCACTATTGGACATATGCAATTTGTTTTCCAGGGGGCTTAAGCACATGGAAGCATGTCAGAAGGGTTCTGCGGGTAGTGTTGGCCTCTCACTTGCTGGTTCCCAGCTATCTTCTTGGGTTTTTAGGCGTATAGGGTGAGTGGATGTCTATTTAACCCACCAAAAGTTGAACTTTCTGCAGGGGACCTGAGGACATCCCAGTGAAACATCCCCGCAAAATGGGAGCCTTTGGAGTTGAACTGATTTTGGGTCAAAAGAATGGCGGGTCTCTCAAAAAAAAGGTACTGGGGCCGGCTGATTTCGGAACGGGTCTCCTTGCGAAGCAGGGTTTTGGATGTACCCTTTAAGGAACCTTTGTGGGTCCCGGATCCTGGTGGCGTCCTTTCAACCGGGAGGTCAATTGGAAAGACGTTCGATCCAGGACAAGCGCCTGATCATGAATGCCGTCACCGGGAACCGAGAGAGCCTCGCTTGCATACGTCCGCGTTTTGTTTTTGAGTACAGGCTTGCAAGAATTACCCGATGGGTGATTAAAAAAAGGATTTCTGCTGGGATGTTTGCCGTAACTGCTTATCCAATACCGGGGAGCCACCATCACGGGTCAGATTCCTCAATGGTCCTTGCTGGTGCCCAACAGCCGCTAGCTGTCGGAAGGTTTCAGCAAAGCTATGGCTTTGGAGGCGGTTTTCATGGCGTTGGCTGCAAAATGCTGCAAACAAGGCAGCCGCAAGTAAGCTTGAGGATCTCACTGAAATGGGTGGCCAAGGTGGCCAAGGATGCGAATTTCATCGTCCAAAGCTCCGGCTGTTCCAGCTTGGATTTTGGCACGGTCATGCCATCTCCATCCTTGTTGCCCTTGACCCTGGAGGTATTGGGCTCCTTTCCTGGCCCGTGTTTCATGAGACCAAACAAAAACTCAACACGGATGTGTGTCTTGTATCTGGAAAAGGTGAGCCACCCTGTGCCCTTTGCCCCCCAAACTTGGGATTTGGGAGTGCTATTTCGTCCAATTAGCTGTTCCATAGGTCTGGGTATTGGGAAACCCAAGTATGTGATGTTTCCTTCTCTCCCCTTCAAAACCGCCCTCAACAGGGGTACCTCGTCTCAACAAGACACATCCTGCTGCCGAACTGGGGGCGTTGCAAAGATTCCCTGCCAGGTTAACAGCTAAGTTGTGACACTTCTGCATCCCCAAGTGGGCCACATTTGGGCTGTGGGATTTCCTTTTGCCGTGGAGAGCTCAAGCTGATTCTTGCGAGGCGCCAAAAAATCACCCTGTCTGATAGCTTGCCACAGCGAGGATTTACCATACCATCATCGAAAAGGCCACGTTGATCCGAAATCACAAGGCGGGGGCAGAGCAGCGGCGTGGGAGAAAACTGGGATCCGAAGCTCACTTGCCCAAAGCCGCAATTTCAGCCTATGGGGTGCTCCCCAATTGTCCTGTGGGCGCTCGCCTAAGGTGTGCTCTTCAATTGTTTGCAACATGTCTGCCGGCGTGCCAGCCGGAATGCCCGACCGGTCTACCATTCCGAAGGAAAGATATATTTCGAGGTCCTCTGGCAAGTGAGGAACAGAGAAAGGAGTTACAGCAAAGGATGGGATCAGTGGGGATTGATGCCGAGCTTGAAGGGCGACGTTTCAGGATGTGTCCCGCTGTTGAAATTGTTGCTTTGTCAGACCCCCGCCCATCGCACCACAAGCATGAGCAAAAAAGCAGAGAAATGCAACAGGGGGAGAGCGAGACAGAGAGTTTCCTTTTCCAGTAGCTGAAATGCTAAAAAACATATTGCCCCACACAGAGGTATCTCCCCAGGGGCACGCGATTGGCCCCTTAGTTGAAGTCCAACACGGGAAAGATATCATTGTTTGAGAATCGTGCGCAGACAACTTCCGTTCCATGGAGAGAGGGTGGACATCCTGGTGTAGCACTCAAAGGGGAATGTGGCTCTTCGATCCCGTGCTAAAAGTTGAAAACCTTGAGTGGTTTAGTGGAAGCTACTACTACACCAACTAAGAAGCAAAAACCCAACACTGAATGAAACAAGACTGTTTGTGTCCCAGGCTTCTGTGCAGTAACAGGCAAGCCAATTGGGGCCTGACAGGAAAAAGTGACTATACAACAGATGGAGCTGAGAGAGTACCACAGAGGGCAGCGCAAGTCAGCACTGCTCAACAGGCAAGAAGGGGCACACAAGGTCACGAGACTCTTGTCCGGCCAGCAGAGCGTAGGGGCTCCAAGGTTTCCAGAACTCTCTGCCCCGTCCACAGACCGATACTGCTTTGAATGTATGTGGATGAATTATAACGACCTCACACGACCGAATTCACCCCAAATGATGATGGTGTATGTGGGGATTAGCCCCTCAACCACCTTATTTCAGGTTGGTGAAATATTATCATTCACTCAGATGTATACAAGGCGAGCCACACGAAATGCGGTCATGTAAACTGCAGATATATATTTTGGGAAAGCAAGCGCCCTTCTCCTTCCCCAGAATTAGTTCCCCCTTTTATTTGTTTGCTTTTTTGGGGTTCCCTTTGTTTTCCACCAGGCAAAAAAACTCATTTAATTTGTTGCTGGGGTCCTAATTCCAGCCAAGTCATGTATCAGGAAGAAGCCACAACGTCTTGCTTTACAATGAGCGTTGGGTTGCTGAAGGTTGGATAATTACGGGTTTCATGGGGCAAGTTTCGCTCGCGCTGTTGAATGTTGTATATATATTTTTTTTGGAAAGCAAGCGCCTTTCTCCTTCGCGGGTTCTTTGCATGTTCTCGTTGAGATTTCAGGTGCCGGAGGAAGACCGGTTCGGAAGCCCGGCTCGGTGGATGACAAGGTCCTCCGGCGAGCTCGTCTCACCGAGCTGACCTTTGGATCTGAGCGGCTTTGTGGTGACTTACTTTCTTGACTGCTGTTGGGTTGGATCTTTAGACTTGAACTTTTTGGGAAATCCAGGCGGTCCACTTTAAACCCCCCAAAAAAGTTAAACTTTTTGCAGGGAAGTCAACAGCAACTAAGCTTTTTGGTCAGAGGTCCAAAGGTGCTCGCCATTTATTCATTTCCTGGCAGGGGAGGATGAACCGAGGCCTAGATGAGACCATGTTGGGGTGCCGATGTTCCTGGAAGCGTTTTGATTTCAGGCTGCAGGATTTGCGCATCGGATCACTTCTCGTGATCCGCTTCCCCATGTAATTGCAGGACATGCGTGAATGGGTTCCAAGACCTCCCCTGCCCCATTAAGTTTGCGGGGATCTTGCGAATGCGAGCCCCCCATGCCTCGCATATCCCGGACATGGGACATGACTGCTCTCGCGTGTTTGCAAGATTCGGTACGGCTTGTAGGACATGGGTTGGAATTCGAAGCCCTCATTTGGAGCAGAGGCTAAAACAAAAAAAGGGACTCCATTGCTGGGGTCATTAGTTTGACGGCTTCGGGGGGTATCAAAGTCAGTAAATGGCGTTGTTTCCCTTAACCCACCACTTAGGGGGTGACTTTGATCATGGCAAAATAATGAGGCCAGCATTGCAGAAAAGAAAGTGTTTGCTACTTTCCGGCAATCCAGATTCAGAAAAGTCGAATCCGAGCCACCGGATCTAACCGGCTCGGCAACTGAAATAGGGAGAGAGGGAGAGAGAGAGAGAAAGATCCTATCGGTTTTTGACAGGGTGAGAATGACAGCTGGGGGGAAATAGTGGCACATTTCCCCCTATATTGATTGACTCATTTCCGTTTACTTCGCCACAAGCGAATTGTGCTATCTACCTTGCATGAGTCGAGTGGAAGCCCCACTTCCGCTTCAGGAATCCATGGAATGTCAAAGTGACATGTCAAAAAAGGTTGGACATAAATCCCGGTGCGAAGGATGCCCCATTCTTAAACTAGGTTTGGCGCAAGAAGCGTGTTCGCTGCCCTTTTTTGCTGTCCCATGCCGAAAGGTGGATTTCCCATGGCACATGTTTTCGGTCCAAGCTGCGTGAGAGCCGTCCAGGTCCGGGTCCGGTCCCTAAAGGGGACCATTTTTTATTCGCCGTTCGGGGAGCAGTTCGAGTTCGGTCAGTTGGGTCTACAGGGAGTTTGGAAGTCTCAGAGGACGTGTGGACTTTGGTTGGTCCGTCCTCTTAGTTTTTAAGGGATAAAAAGTAAGAAGAAGTAAGGAGGCCATGCAACATCTGAGGATAGCGGAAGGATTCTTTTTTGTGGGGATGCTTCCTAAACTTGGAATGAGAACCCTGACATTGATTCACGAGGGGGTGGGCCCGCAAACGGGGAGTTACACATGTCCCAAGCCATTTCCTAGCAGGAGACCTGCTTGCTGGGGATGGTTGGGAGGTAACATTGCTAAATGGTTTTGAGAGGGGTGCAAGAACCTAAACTTTTTCTATGGACCCTTTTTCTTGCTCTGTTTGTTCAAAGGGGAAACCAGCAGTACCCGCCCCCCCTAAAAGGGCTTCTAGGGATGCCCAATGTACACCCATGTCGAAACATGTTGAAGGCACTGATCTAGGGTAGGTCCCCAATTCATTTCAACCAGCCACTGCCCCGTTTGCCAGCCGTGCGTTTTGTTGGCGCTCTTCTGGAAACGATCCCTTCCGCAAAGGTTGGAAGCACCACCTCTAGAACTCCACAATTTCCCAGCAACATGTGGCAACCTTTTCCGCTTGTGGAAGTCTTCAGGATGGCTAGCCCCCTTTTTGGAGCTCCTGTCTGACCCGTTCTCGCTGGGTGCCCTTTCAAGGGTGCCCGAGTTCTCACCGATCTGGCCCAGAGTAGCCCAACGCGGTGCGGGGAAAACTAAAGTAAAACTGGGTTTCTAGTGAACAGTTTTCCTTAATCTTGAACAGTTAGAGTTTTCTCAAATTTACTCGTGGGTCCCGGTGGCTTTCCAAAGAAGCAACTTCATGTCGAGGATAAAGTGTTGGATGTCTTGTTAAAATGGGCCCGGCGAAGTTACGAAACGAGTTTTGCCCAAGGCAAAACTCTCGGAGCAAGTTCCGACATTCGGCGTGCGTTAAAAAGCGCAACCTCAAGGCACCAAGCTTGCTGGTGCGACAGGTAGGGAATGACCCAGGGTTTGGGAATCAACCGGCAGGGAATTCCCTGGATTTGTTTTTATACCGGTGCGTACCCTTTTGAGGGTAGGTGGAAAGAAAATGCAAAGCGAATCCACCCGTTTTGAGAGTTTCCTCATTTTCGATCACGCGCATTTTCTGCTTCAGGCTCTTTTAGGGGCAAGCTGCCTCCTGAGACCCGCAAACTCAGATTTTCAGAGCCACACACGTCGAACTGCAGAAGAGCCTGCAGCTTGAAGCAAGACTCCAATCATGTTGACTTACCTGGCTAGCTGACTCACGAGGAAAATTGGGTTGGTAAAAATGGGTCATGGGCCGCTCTTGACAAAATGGCCGTTGCTTTTTGGGTCGACTCCGACTCCGTTGCTGCCAGTTGCCTATGACACTCACTTGGCCTGTGGTGCGCATCGCATTGCAGGAGGAGGCGCTAAGCCCTGGCCTGGATGAAGAAGAGGAGGAGGACCCTGACGAGGACAGCTGACTCGGCAGGGTCGTCGGCAATGTTGTCGCCCCGCTTCTTGGTTGTTGTTGGGAAACACTTTCCATTTTTGCTTATTGTGGTTTAGAGGTTGAAATCCAACCACTTAACTGCCAAGTTAAAAATGTGTTGCTCCCCTCCAACATCAACCAAGCTTGGGTGAAGGGATGTTGCCAGACCGATTAGAAATCAGCTGGCCTCGGGAAGTTGTTGGTCGTAGTGTGGGAGTGATAAGCATCGAGCGTTTGAGAAACTGGTCCCGGTCTTTGCCGAGGTTTCAGAAGCCTGACCCAAGCCATGAATGGAATGAAGGGCGCTGTTACATATTCCCTTTGTGGACCGGTTGAAGGCAACCAGTGTGGGGGCTGTGCAATGCATCTTTCACCGTCTTTCTTTTCCCTGTTCTAGTACCTCGTACCTTTCCCAGTCCCTGAGAAGCCAATGAATGACTGCCACCAGATCCACATTAAAACTTGAACATTTTGTAAGATATGAACAAAGGAGATGCATCTGGAGAGTTAAATAGCATGAAGGCAACCAAGATCCAGAGTACACAGCAAAAAGGACAGATTATTGTGGCCGCGAGATCCTACTTCAGGACGGTGATTGGGAAGGAATAGAGATGAAATTCGTTCCTCTCTTCCAGATTGCCTCGTCCATAGACAAGAAGCATATGGTGGAGGTACGAAGGAAAGTGCTGTGGGCTGTCTCTCCATCATGGATCTCATTCACTCACAAAATTAAAATGATTATAGAGAAGACGGCCTTCACCAACCATCCAAATCAAGAATATATATATATATATGTATTATAATTGCTAGAGTGAAAGGGTTCTATCTTGGAAGAACAGTTACCCATTCATATAAGCTCCAGACAAGAAAACCAGAATACAGAAATGTCTGTTCTTGGGGATCTTTCTGTAGGTCCGTTAATTAGGTGTACGACCCAAAGGCAGTCCGCACACATAAGAACCCAGACGACACCAAGGAGTAGGAAATTCGCAATCAGCCAGTCAGCGGTCAATCCTCTATCCTACCTGTTCATTATCTTGCAATATCCATCCCTAGATCTCTTCCACAATCTACTTTTCTTTCAATTTAGAAACATCTCGCTTGGATATCAGGGATTATGAAAGGGAACGACCTCCAGGCCACTCGGTCAAAGGGAGTAGGCGAGTGGGAGAGGAGGGTATAATTATTTTTCTTCTAACCGCTGTTACGACCAATGCCCTCTCCCCTACGTAAAGATGCAGGACGAGAAATGACATGATAAGATGGATTATTTCTCCGGTCCAATTCTCCCCTCGACAGTGCACCAAAGTGAATCAAAAGTAGAGAGTCACAGGAAAGTTGGTACGTGGGAAAGCGATAGGTGTGCGAAATGGATAAGGAATGGGTAGCCGTTCCACCCAGTCTCTTGGTCTATTTTCTGGGTACCTCTGCCAGTGAGTCCATCTGTCCTTTCCTTTGCAATCGATATTGTTCCCAGTTGGGGGTGATGATTTCCAGAAGGAATGGAATGTCAGGTGATCTCACCTCAACAAAAAATGACTGCGATAGGATTGGGCAGTCAGTAGTGTCGGAGAATACCATCGGGAATATGCCCTAGACACACGTGTTTCTGATCTTGGTGGATGTGAATGTCCAAACAGGATAAGACTTTTTTGGGCTGGGACTGAGCCACGCATGCCACGGAATTCAGAGTGGCCAAGGAGTTGCAAGATGTACCTGACAACCTTCCCGCTGTTTTGTGAGAGTTGGTCAATATTCACACGACACCTGGAGGGGTGTACATTTCTTACGCAACCCGAAGCGAGGTCCGGTGAGCACATGGGTTTAGGGCTTGATTATGGAGTGATTGCCACAGAAACCTCACACAGAAACACGTGCATGTTGGGAATGTAGTTCAAAACACGGGCCCCACAACAACACCTTAAGTATAAGCAAGGTGTGTCTCAAACAAGTGGTCCCTCCGAAACGACTGGCTGGGTGTCTCATTTTCCCGGCCACTTTAGTGAGCCTCCAAAGAGGAGTCAGGCGGATCTGAAATGAGCGCCGGCTGACCCCGAGAAGACCCATTTCCGAGATGGTTTCCTAGAACATCCCCATTCCTAAAGCGCAGGTTCATTCCCAAAGCGCGGAAGCTCATTCCCTGAGCACCAAGCAAGAAGCACCTAGACACCTGTCGGCCATGCCACGAAACAGCTCAGGATGATGCAGGGCCCGGCCTCACAGTGGGCTGCGTGCGGGGCCCGGATCAAGGATGGCCATAGCGCAACTTCGATCGAGGAATCGGAAGGTGGATGCAGCTTCGCGATTCGTGCCATCCAAAATGATCCGCAGACAAAA